GAATTGGAAAAACGACGCACAGGGGAAGGAGCCTGCTCTATTTCAAGTAGAGCAGGCTCAATTAAAAAGTGGAGCAGGCTCTACTTTGTAGTAGAGCCGGCTCCACTTTGGGTGGAGCTGGCTCCTCCAAGGTTTCCAGTTTTTTTTTTTATTTTCTTTGTTTTCCCTGCGAATCTAGGCTACTGTATTTGGAATTTTGAAGTTCCAGAAGGTTTTAGGAATGGTTCTAGGGGTATTTTGTAATGAATAAACTCTTGATAAATTCTAAGAAGGCATGGTAACTCATAATATACCATAGGAAGCTAAATAAGGAACAACCGGAGACTCTTAGGAAGTGATTAGTTTTACGGTGATGCGGATAATTCAAGTTGCTTGGTTTAAAGGTAGCAATTGAATTAGGAATTTTATGTGTAAATCATTTGACCGTGGTATTGGATTAAGCATCTCAAATTATATAATGTCAGTTATGCTTAACGGGGAATTAATTGATGTTTACATCGCTTAAGGAAGTTTGTGTGACGACTTTGTTACAGACAATTCAAGTTGCTTGTTTTTAAGCTTAGCAATTGAATTAAGAAGTTTATGTTTAAATCATGAAACAGTGATATGGGATTAAGCTTGTCGACGAATATAATTTCACTTAATGTTTAATAAGAAACTAGTTGATGTTGACCAAGAATTGTTTATGTCAACTTGTGGTATGTTGTGGAGTGATTACAAGTAAGCATGTAGATACTGTTAATGTTGTTATTATGCTTATTGTGAGTTACAAGATGGTTATATTTATTCTCTGCATTTAAAATTCGTTAGAGAATCAGGTACTGGATGTATTGAACAAGCATGCTAGTTAAACATTCTTGTGATGCTTATGGTTGGGTATGTTGATATTGATATGTTATGCTGTCATATATATATTATCAATTCTGGATGGATGTTTTTGTATGCACCGGTATGGGACGGTGACATACTAGGGGGATTAGCTTAAAAATGCTAAGTCCTACCTACTTTGGAATAAGGGATGGATTAACTACAAAAGTTAAGTCCTACCTGTCTTCTGTGTCAGATCAATAAATAATTGAGTGACACTTTGGTTTGGAATGGAATTTAAATATATTTTTATGATGCCACGATATGAGCCTGAGTCTCAGAGTTGTTGGTTAGGGAGCGTATATGCATTGGGATGCATAGCTGGCTATGATGGTTGGATGTGTACCCTGCTGGGACTAGGTAGTCATGCCCACCTTTGGGTGCGCTTTCGCATGGTGCCTACTAGTCAGGTTAAGACAGGCCTGTAGTCCAGTGAGAGTCCTGTAGTGTGATTATATATATATATTTATCTACGGACTATTAGCTATTGTTGGATTGGTTAGGATGTACATGCGTATCGGGTCTCTGCTTGGGTTGTAATAGTATAGAACTTGCATATGGGCCTGACCCACTCATCATTTTTTAGGTATCGGACATTTCCAGTCTAGAGCTTGTTCGTGCTGAGCAGAGACGATCTTCCATTTTACCGACGACGTAGGACTTCTTTCCAAATATTAGATTTGGATTTTATTTTCAATTTTTACTTTCATTCAGTTTGGGATTTTTATTAGGGGTCCACTAGAGATGGATTCCCGAGTTGTTAAACTGATGGAGTTTGGGTTTGATGGATTTTAATAATTATAATATTTTTACGGATTCTATTTTTAGTTCCTTCCAGCTTTAATTTCATTTCTTAAATTCAATCTTGTATTCTGTGTTCGTTATAACATATTAATTGTCAGATATTCCCTCGGGTTCGGACCTGGGCCTGATCAACCCGTGTCTCGAATCCGAAGGGTATCACATCGATTCTTCTACAACTTAGTGAACTCACCCGAATCTATATTCTTGTTTAGGTAAAATTGTTTTTGTCCTCCTCTCTCTATCTAAGATTCATGGTTTATGTAATGAAATAATGAATCCATTGTTTTTCATTTGGATTTTGTTTATTGGATCGATCTATCTGCTTGATTGCTAATTTGCTGGGTTTGATTGTTTATTAGGCTTTGTTATCAATTAAATATATATTTTTTATCTAAACCTTGCTGATTTGCTGGGTGTCGATGATTTCAATCATGGTTTCGCCCTTGATCTTCCTCTGCATGTAGTCGGGGATACAGGACAGTACAACGATGTCGCTAGTGGTCGAGATGATGGTGCATGGGGTTGTAACCTTCTCGAGAGTGTCTCTTTCATCACTCTGAAAAACAAGTTTTGCTACAGAGAGTGCAGCTTCAGGCCTCATTCTCTTCAAGCACTTTTCGAATTTTTATAAAGAAAGAGGATTGCTTGCATCAACAACTAGAGAAGTAAAGTGTGAAGCCTAATTATTGAAATTGAACTCTACATTTGACAAGATTTGCTCAATATCTGATTTTTCAAACCCTCCTTCATAGTCTTCTGAATTTATGTACGTTTATGTAAAATCAATAAAATTAGTTAGGATCTTGTTTAGATGCACATACTCATCTATCTGAATCATTCACATAGCATATTAATCAGATTTACCAATGAAAAAAAAAAAAAAAAAAAAAGGAAAATGATGATATTATTTTAATCCTTGGCACATTAAACAGGTTAAATGGTTAAACATGTTAAACAGGTCGTGTCTGGTGTGTCTAACACAACTCATTTATTAAATGGGTTACACGTGTCGTGTCGTGTCACCCGTTTGATAAATGAGTCGTGTTCGGGTTTAAGATATGTGACACGTTTATTAATCGTGTCGTGTTCGGGTTAACATGTTTAGTATTATACCCCTAGGTCGACACGACACGATTATGACATGCGAACCCGAATTGCCACCCCTAATTGTAGCGTGTCTAAAACATCATTTTATGTTTGCGGGCATACTCATATTTCATAAAACTCTTAAGTTGCAACTTTTGAACTATTTATGGAATGATTTATGGATTTTTATGCAAAATTCATGCGTGGGAGTGAGTTTCATGCTTCCCTTTTGTTTTAGCATGTTATCTATGCTTGATTAAGGCTAGAAAATGTTTTCAAACACGTTTTGGGTCAATTGGAATACATGCATGGCATCAAGGTTGGACCGGGTGAGTTTTCATCACATTACAGCAGAAGTTTTTTGCTGTTATCTGTTGCGTCAGTCGGCTGATGAGGGCCATCAGCCGGCTGGCACATGCTCGAGGAGCCATTCTAGCAGCCTTCTAATGAAATTCATCGTTTCGGCCGATCGATGATTGGGGTTCGGCCGACCAAAGGTTGAGGTTCGGCTGGTCCTTGCCGTTGGTCGACCGATCCTTCTTGGGACCTTTTATTCCTAGTTTTCTTGGACAGCCTTGTTGCACCAACTTCAGAGGGTCATAACTTTTTCATTCCTAATCCAAATTGAGTCATTCTTGAGTCTAAATTCAAGAACTTGAAGTTAGCTTTCCAACCACACATCAAAACTCCAATTGTAGTGAGAGTTATTCCAGTTTAAATGAGATAGGTTCGTGGTACCTCCTAAATAGAGAATACCACTTTGTTCCTTTTCATATCTTTTACGTCCTGACTCCGAATCAGGCGATTCTTGAGTCTAACTACATCTTTTTTTTTCGTTGTCTTTCCAATGGCATGCACGGTGGCATCCATTTCAGTTTAAAATGACCATTTTACCCTTGATTCATTTTTTATCGAGTTTGACATTCTTGCTTCATTGCTTAGCTTACTTGAGTTCCATGGCTTCATGGGGAGTCAGTTTGGTGCCTTGGGGATGACATACATTCCTAAAGGTCTTTTTGCACAATTCGTTTCCACATTTCGGATCCGTTATCGGGTCATCTTTTGGTCATCACTAACGCACCAGGTTTACAAAACTTGGGCTGTCATAACAAGTGCCACATTGAATGTAATTAATTGATTTAGGATTCTTCTGATATTTTACAAATTAATTTATTTTTATTTTATTTTTTTCGAGTTCATTCTTAAAGTCGCTTTAGTAATTTTATTTCGTAAAGTAACATAAATTTAAAGGCAAGGAACATTTTGCACCATTTTGATCAGGGAGGTTTATGGGAAAATAGATAAAAGGTTTCTTACAATTTAAGCCCATTGTTTGGGCATAACTGATAGAAGTCATTGTCAAAGATTTGACATCAATGCAAATGGTGTGATTATATATCTTCATAAATGGATCTCATTCAGCCTCGTTTTGCATGTGTTTTCTTTCTGCTATTTTTTTTTTTTTTTTTTTTTTTTTACTTTTGTAGTGTTAATTTTGACAATAAAAGTATGTTTGTTACAATCTTATTTTATTTTACACAGTACTAAAATACTTTGTGAACAGTGGTTCAAAATCAAAATACCAAAAAATTATTTTTTCTTATTTTGACAACTGTTCATGACCTAAAATTATAACAGTAGCATAACTGTTTCCGATATTTTCACAACAAAATATCGTTCCCAAACGTATTTTTAATTTTTTTTTTTTAAATTTTATAGAAAAAATACTGTTTTATTGCAAAAATACTGTTTTTATTTTAGCCAAAAATAAAACGCATTTTGTAAGCATAGGAACCCTTGTATCTTAAAAAGAAAAAAAAAAAGAAAAAAAAAAAAAGAAAAGAAAAAGAACATCTAAAAGTGAGCAATATCATCTGTCAAAAGTCATGCCAAAAGGCAGTAGTCATCAAGTACTACTAGTACAAAAATTAAAAAAAGGTGGCTTGGCCCATCAATTTGACTATGGTATCTTATTGAATTCACTGTTGACTTGCATCCATGAAATGATAAGCTCACACTTCATCAAATCTCATCCCTTTGATTCTTGGTTATGCATTATCAAAAGCAAGCACATTTTACTATATATATTTATTTATGGTATGATGATGCATTTTTTAAATTCGGAGATTTTCGATGAGAAAATGTAAGAGAGAATGTGAATTTTATTACATGATATTAAAATTCGATGTTTCTTTATTCTTATTTATAAAAGAAAAAGAAGCTTACTTATGTTGAATTTGCCATCGTCTTCTTCAAGGAGATAAACCACTTGACTTTGCCTTCATGGAAGTCAACTGAGACTTCAAATGAGTTGATCCAAATTTTAGCCCTAATTAAGTTAGCTCATTGGGTGCAGAGCTGTGTATACAGCTAGTGAAGAAAGTTCAACTTGTTGATTGAGCATGTGGAGTGAGTGATTACTTTGAATGATGGTCTATAGTGCTTTTCATAAGAATACGTTTTGAGTTCTTTGTATAAAGTGCCCAAGGAAAGAACACCATACCTTTCTGTTTGGCAAGTTTCTTTCACTGGAGCAACATGGAGCCTGCTCCAGGACTGGAACTGCAAACCAGAGGTTAGTCTATTATCAATTTTGCTATATATATATATATAGAGAGAGAGAGAGAGAGATGCAGTAAACTTATAATTAAATTTATTGTCTCAAGGGGGAGTCAGAACTTCAAACAATTATATTTTTGTGTGTTGTAGTAATTCCTCATGTTCTGTTTCAAGTTTCAACCATTATAAACAAATCAAATAAGGTACCAAATTAGGTTAGAAAATTATAGAAGCAGCGAAAAACAGTAACATAATAGGGGCAAGATTTTCAAACAGATTACCCAAGTAGAGTAGAACATTTTTTATTGTTTTTGTTACTCTTGTGAATACTTCAAAACATTAATAAATTGGGCAAAAACCTTGTTTTGTGTGGTTTCCACAGTTCCACTAGTTGAAGATGAAGAACCAGACTCAGATAAAGACCTACCAGCTGCCAATCAACGGCGAATTCCTAGATTAAAACACTACAAGTGGTGGCTTCGCGTTGCCCTCTACACCCTCTTCCTCCTTGCTGGCCAATCCGCGGCCACCCTCTTGGGGCGGCTTTACTATGACAAGGGCGGAAACAGCAAGTGGATGGCCACATTTGTTCAATCAGCAGGCTTCCCAATCCTAATCCCCCTCTTATATTTCTTCTCACCATCCACCAATTCCACCACCACTTTTTTAACAAAACTACCACCAATCCACATTTTAACTTTCCTATACCTCTTCTTTGGCCTACTCTTGACTGGTGACAACTTGATGTACTCTTATGGACTCTTGTACCTCCCTGTCTCTACCTATTCCCTCCTATGTGCAACACAATTGGCATTCAATGCACTCTTCTCATTCCTACTAAATTCCCAAAAGTTCACTGCTTTAATACTCAACTCTCTAGTCCTCGTCACCATCTCAGCATCGGTTCTAGCAGTTCATGCAGAATCTGATAACACGACAAAGATCCCGAAACAGAAGTATATAATTGGATTCCTATGCACACTTGGTGCATCAGCCACTTATTCACTATACCTCTCCCTAGTGCAGCTCTCTTTCCAAAAGGTGATCAAGAGGGAGACCTTTGGTGCTGTGTTGGACATGCAAATCTACCCATCATTCGTGGCGACTTGTGGCTGCGTGGTAGGTCTTTTCGCGAGTGGAGAATGGAGAGGTTTGAAGAAAGAGATGGGAGATTATCAGAAGGGGAAGGTGTCCTATGTGATGACTCTGGTTTGGACTGCTGTGACGTGGCAGATTTCGTCGATAGGTCTACTAGGGTTGATCTTTGAGGTGTCTTCTCTCTTTTCCAATGTTATCAGTACTTTGGCTCTGCCTGCTGTTCCAATTCTTGCTGTGATATTCTTCCATGACAAGATGGATGGGGTGAAGGTCATTGCCATGTTGCTTTCTATCTGGGGTTTTCTTTCCTACGTCTATCAGAATTACCTAGATGACTATGAATCTAAGGTAACAAAAGTCGATGTCAATGAGGTTTCTGGTTCTCATGTAGAGCTTTGTTGATGGGTAGCTAATGAAGCAACATTGTGTAAACCTGAAGAATTTCAATGGAAGATGAGACATACAAGCTTTGTTTAATGATGCTCATGTGAATATGTGATTATATTCTGGCTTGTCAGCCAACTCTAGAGAACAATTCATGAAGATATATATATATATATATATATATATATATAGATACACATTTTTTTTTTTTTGTGTGTGTCAGCATTCTCATATATAGAGATTAGAGAGAGACATTGTGGTCCTTTCAATTGTGTGGTTTGTCACCATTTCAGAAGAGGGGCTCATATAATTCAACATCCCAAAGATTGCATTTGGGAGCGAACAAATCGGTGCTTTGATTTGGGATTAGAGAAAATTCAGTTCAACTGATCCCAAATCCAAAGCACCTATTTGATGTTTCCAAACATAGCAAAAATGATTTTTCAATTCAATAACTGGTTTTGAGAGACAAATTGCATTTAATTAATGAAACAAAATGTATTTTTTTCCATTGTGGGTGAGAGCTATTGTGAAGTATTGAAGACTGAATTTCTTCTGAAAGCATGCTTAGAGCAGAAAATAAAGGTTTGCTCCCCACTAACTCCTGTTTGGGGTTGATGCATAAAACTAGCTCTAGATTAGCATGTGACATGCCTCAATAAAGAAACAGATAAGCACTGAGAATAAAATTATAGAGCTCAATCAAAGCTCTAGACATCAATTATGAGGCAAAACTCAATTGTTGGCATACAATAATATGTTGTAATATGTTTTTTTGGCACGCATCAAATTCTCCCCAGATCTCGTAGTGGCAGGAATCTCGTGCACTGGGTTAGCCCTTATCCGCCTAAAGAGGATCCAACTGTTCCTCTACAACATAGTTATTCAAATACTTTACTATAGAATTTTCTACTCGTCACCTCACAGATATATGTTTCACTATGCGGTTGTTGCTGCACCAGACTTTCTATCAATCTCCTCCAGAGCAGCCCACAATTTTGGATCTTCATAATCCTTTGCAAGAAGCGCAGGTTTTGCTTCCATCAATAGGTGTTCGGGATTTCTGGTCGTTAAACCAACAACAGGCATGCCGGCTGCAACCCCGGCTTTTATGCCTGAAACAGAATCCTAAAGGAGAAAAAAAGAAGATTAAGTTCATGAATGCCCCATTAAGCTGACTACTGAGAAACAATAAAGTTTGGGAAGAGAGGGCAAACCTCAAAGATGAAAGTGTGATCCTTTGACACTTTGAGTAGTTCAAGAGCTTTCAAGTAGGGGTCTGGGAATGGTTTGGCACGTTCACACTCACTCCCAAGGATAAGAGCATCAAAGAAATCAGAAAGGCCTAGCAGTGAGATCATGAGTTCAGCATTTTCTCTAGGAGCATTAGTGACTGCAGCCCGTTTTAAGCCACGATCTTCGACCCATTTCTTGACTTTGTATAAGCCATTCACAGGCGGCAATTGTTCCTTTGCCAATCTGTTTTCTCCATTAAGCAAATTATGAGGTGGGAGCTTGAATAATGGGAAAAATTAAAAAATAAATTCTCAGGAAAGTAGATTTTACCTCCGATACATAGTTTCCTTATCATCCATGAATTTTAGACCCCTTTGGTGATCATCAGGAAAAAGCACTTTAGCAATATCTTCATTATGCTTTCCACTAATATTCTCAATGAAGAATTGCTCTTCAATTGGAACCCCACCATTGAAACCTATCTGTTAAACACCCCGGCATCTATTAATCCCCATTATAATATGTTCAGAAATCATGATTTTAGAGCTCGTTCAAGTTATACAATTACATGAAAGGTTCAGTTGTAATTTATAAAAATAAGAATTTGCCAATGAAAAGATAGGTGCTTGATCGCAAAAAATGGGGGAAAAAGAATTGAATATATGGTGCTTGCATATGAACCCTTTGATGGTGTAATACAAAAATATTTCAGAATAACACAATCATGAAACCGGTGTCACGGTGTGTGGTGAACATGACTGGAAAAAAAGAATCATTGTGAAACTAGAATATAATGTTACCCTGAGTTTGTCCAAAGAAGCGAAAGAAAAGAAAAAATGAATAAATAAAAATCCACCTCTTGAAGCGTCTCGCGAAAGGCATAGTAATGAAGAGGGTCTGAATCACATAGAGTTCCATCAACGTCGAACAGTACTGCTTCAAGAGGAGCAAGTTTGGAGAAAGAAGAGACGCTGCTGCCACAAAATGACAATAAATAGTTAAATAATTTATGTAGAATAATTAACCCAAAATTGTGCCACAGGTACCACAAAGAACTGAAGTCTCAGCCCAAAAATTCAGTGGTAAAACTGCAATGAGACTAACCAATGGGTTTTCATTTCAAGAATTTTTTTTTTTTTTTTTTGGTCTTTATCTTCTTTCCCCATTTAATTTAAATTCATTCAATGCAACTGAAAAACACAAGAATGCTTGAAAAAGTAAGTATGCATATCAGATGACTAACATAATCAATACATGTAAGTGTGCATGTATTTATCAATCTATAGATTTTTTAGCATATGTCATTTATTGTAGAGAATCCTATGATCCCAATTAATTGTTTCTTTTTATAAGGCTTGCAGAGAGGGAGAGGCTCGGCAGGCAATTTCCCTGAGATAGAAGATTGGATTCCCAACTGATACAGCTTCACGAGATATACTTCCTAAACGTAATTTCTAGTAACAGTATAAACTTCAGACTGACAAACAAAACCTAACAAGTCTCCTCGGGTAAAGGCTTAATGAATATGAAGCCAACACAATCTAGCATGAAATTTTATCTAGAATAGCACAAGGACCTTTCTGATTAGTAATAATAAAAAGCAATAGTATCAATTAAACATTTCTAAATTCATGGTTTCATCTTAAATGATATGAAATTGAATATAATAATTTAAATTTCATTTGGTGAACAAATTACAGCATGGCTCCAACTTCTCTCGGAGAAAATCAGGAAGCATACATTTGAGTGAGCATCTCGTGCTGAGACAACAACTTATGGCATTTAATGTTCAAACTCTGGTACCCTATACTATAAGGATTTTGGTAAACGTATAATTTGATACTTGTCAGGGACAACCAAACTTCCTCTAGTGAGAAAGTATCTTAAAAGCATTCTGTTTGAGTGCCAATGCTTTGGATGTCGTACACAATCGTGATTTGTGGCCCTTATTGATCCAATGTTGGCCCAATTTTCTCAAATAAACGTGCCACTTTTTTAGGGCAATGCTAGGGGGGGAGGAAGACCAAAAAAATAATGGGTTGATATAGTAGGAAACATATGACACCATGTGATTTAACTGAGGTTATTGCCTTAGATAGATAGAATGGCAAAACAGGATTCACATAGTTAGCTGATCCTAAAGAATTGGCAAAAGGTTGACATGTCAATTAATGGTGTGCAAGAACAGAGTACTTGAATTCTACTTCACAGAGAATGTAGTAACACTCTGTCAGATATGACCATGAAATGCATTGACTTCAACATTTTTGCTATTCCATTAGTTGAAATACATAACTAGGATTAAACAGGAGTAACCACAAAAATACATGTACTTATTAATGAGGTTAGATTACCCAAAAAAGGCAAAAAAAGAGAGGTTAGGAACAAGAAGAAGCACCTGCGTGGGACATGCAACCAATAAATTGAGGTGAAGTGAGGCATTCGAAAAGGAAATGTATCTCTATAGCATAGAATAAAAGCAAAACAACGGAACCAATCTATGGAATCTTTTGCCACTTCAGAGGTGGTGCATCATTGAGTGGGTATAAGGGAAAGTATTACGTTATTAAATGAAAAGAAATAGGAGAACAATTAAACAGAAAACGAATCTGAGATGAAATTCAGCCTAAAAAACAAGTACATCACCTCCTGAGCAATATGGTAAATCTTATTGGACGACTTCTAAATTTTTATAGTCAAAATAGTTCACGTATTAAGTGGTTAACAGGCTAGTCAATTTTCACAGTCCTGTTTCTGTTGCAAGACAACTTAGATTGTCTTGTTAAGAAAGCATTGCCTATATTACAAATCCAGAACTAGATATTACAACAACCAACACCACATGGAATATATCATGATCTTGGACACATGAGAAACTAGTATATCAGGAGAAACAAGACAGAGTTCACAGATTTTGCTTAGACAACAACATTTATCTGTGCATTCTGCTTCTTGTTACTTGATGAGATCCATACTAATGTTCTATATTCCAATTACAGCAAGTAGCAACGACACCAACATTTTATAGATCAAAAATTGATCAAGCTGGATCAGTTAGATGGAATGTTCTCGAGCCCTCACAGAGAAACGAAATCACAAGCAAGGGAGAGAAAAGAATAAACAACAAAGGATCAAGAGAATTTGTACTAACTATATCTAAATCGAATTCAAATATTAAGAAGTCAACACCCTATGATCATATATTCCATATACATAATTGAATAAAACACCAACGAAAATTCAAGGAGTTGCATCCAACCTGCCTATCGCATGAATGAGACCATGAACAAAGTTAAAAAAAAAAAAAAAAACAACAACAACATTTAGAAATAAACAAAGTTCATTTCCAAAGATGGATATATAAATATGATTGAAAATAGGGGACTAAAACCACAAACTTGTTAAGAACCCCATTCCTCTGAAAAAATATAATTAATTTAATCACAAAATAAATAAATAAACAGCATTATTCCATTAAATGAAGTAAGCAGAATGATACACAGCCCCCAAAAAACCCCCAAAAAAAAAAAAATTTGAAAGTGAATTTCAGTTAATGGGTATGAACATATGAAAATTTCTATAAATGGGTATGAGCAGAATCATATGCACAATTACACATACACATACACAAATCAGATAAATTATATTATATTTCCTAGCTCAAAATTTGGATTACATTGCAGCAGAGCTCATAAATTTTTTACGACAGCTAAAAATATTAAACCAACCCAGATCGATCTTCAACCAATCCTATAAAAGCATCAAATCATAGCATAAAATGTGACATATATACATAAATATATACATATAGATGATGATCACCTGTCAACTGAGTTTTCAGTGGAGGAGGCCGTCATTGTGTGATGGGTGGTGAACAATTTTTCTGGAGGATTTTGGAATGCAAAATTGTTTTATGGCAAATGGGGTTTTTGATATCGATCGAAGAGAGGTGGTGATGGCGAATATGAAGAGAGAGAGAGAGAGAGAGAGAAAGAGAATAGAGGAATCTTCCAGGGAATCAAGAAAAAGCGCCTGTGATTAGTTTTGAGTTGTCTTTTCTCTTCTCCCCCTAACTTTATGAGAAAACACACACATGCATATATAATTATATACAAATTATACACACACCTGAGTGTCAAGACGGTGGCCACACAACCCTTTATTTTTATTTTTTTTTACTCGTGATCGTATACAAATATTAAAATACGTTTAACATTTATAATAAAATGGTATATAACAGTTAAAATTTTGTATTAAAATTAATAGATTAACGAGTCTCTAAAATTTTAAAAAAATGGGATAAATTCTCTTCTTCTTTTTTCTTTTGATTTTAATATAACAAATCATATTCTCGTATGATTTATTTTATAATATATTGATATAATATTGGTTCAAAATGTATTAACTTATAAAAACACTCCTGAAAATTATTATGAGGTCCGCTTTTTAGTAGCATGACTTCTCTTTAGTTAGTTAGCTCACGAGTGTGGTTAAAAAAAAAAAGTGCTATATTTCACAAATTTTGATTTGTGATTGTATCTTCAATTAGGTGGCAGTATATTTGTCATCTTATTTGGATGTTTTGTGGGTTTTAAAATCAATATTTTTAATATAGGAAAAATAGTAATTTATGAAATAGAAAATCCTAATATTAATAACTTGATTTCAATTTTGACCCTTTATATTAAATCTTTAAATAATTAAAAGTAAAAGTGTAATTTTACCATGAATGAGTGACTTCTTTCTTGTAAATAAGTACCATAATTTACATAATTCACTTAAATTTTTTTATAATTGTATTTTGATTTGATATCTTTTAATTACGATTAAATTTTAATGATATATATTCAACAAAGATATGAAATAGTTAAAAAGTATAGAAAGTGCAGAAGATAATATATATATATATATATATATATATATATATATATATAGACATACTTGTATATAAAATGAAAAATATTAGTAAAGAAAAACAAATTAGAGATAGAGAGAGAAAGTTATTTAATTTTTTTTTAATCAACAATACAATTAGTTTGTTAAAATAGGAAAAATAAATACATAAAAGAATAAAGTGTAATATGTATTAAAATAGAAGACATTAATGTCTATTTAGCTATCCCCACATAAAATTCAAGATCAAATCTCAAATTTTAACTCTCAAAAAGAAAACTCAATGTATGCAATTGAGTTATTTAGAGTAATAGATGGCTTAGTTTTACACAGTGTTTGGAATCTTGGAATTTGATAGAATTTCAATTGTTTGGACTTTGGAATGATAACATTTTAAAAGGGCAAGGAATTTGGACTTTGGTTGGATGGAATCAACTATAAAAGAAAGGATAGAGAAAATTTTAAAATTGTTTTAGAGTTTGGATGGATAGAAAAAAAATCGTAGCGTGAAAATTGGTTCTTTTTATTTGAAGTTCTTATTTTATCCAATAACTGAATTATGTAAAATAATTAATTTTTTTATTTTTTAACTGAGTTTCTTTTCTAATAGAGGAAGTTCTTTAACAATTTATATTTTAGTGGACTTCTAGAAGACAACTTCTCTCTAAACATTCTCTTGCAATACTATTTGGACGATTGTTTTGTTTTGGTTCCAAATATATACATTGTATCATATATATTATACACATCTATTATATATAAACAGAGAATAATATATATATTTTTCTCTTTTTGTGTTCTTTGGTTGAAAGCCCATGACTCCATAAGCCCAAATTTTTTTTTTTTTTTTTTTTTTTTTAAGCTTCCTTATTTCTCTTAAATGAATAGATAGTTCTGTTTCTATAGTTCTACCTAAGATGTCTTGAAGTATTGTTTTAATTTAAACAATATAAATAATTATATTATTAAAATTTAATAATTCATCTTTTTATTAAAACTTTGAATAAAATAAACATCATCAAACACAAATTTATTTATTTTTTTAGTATTTGAAATCATAAGGGTAATTTTAGTATACACAATCACTTTCTTTTCATTTTCATGCTATCCAATCTAACAAACTAATATTTTCATACAATTTTCCTGAATAAATTTTCATGCTAACCAAATGTTTCATAGAAAATAACTTTTCTTTTCATTCACTTCACTTTTCTTTCATTTTCTATTTTTTTTCTTTTCTTACTTATTTCTATCTAACCAAGCAGAGAAGGATAATTGGTAAGGTGGAAAAATTCGAGAAAAAATTACAGGATTTGATGGAATTTGAAATATAATTACAACATTGTCCTTTTATTAAGCGTTTTTTTTTTTCTTTTTTCTTTAATTCTAAAAACCTTCTTGCCGACTTTTTTATATGTTAAATTGGTACAAAACTTATTTTATTTCAAATTTCTTTTTACAAATTCTTCCTCCAAACACCAAAATATAATTTTATTTAAGTTTCAATCTAGTCTCCGTTTGTTTGGATATAAAATATTTTTTAAAAAATATTTTTTTATTTTTTAATGTTTGATTATCGTAAAATATTTATGAAAAAAAATATATAAAAATTTTAAAAAAAATAGTTTATTCATTAAATTTTTGTAAGTTATTTTATACGTCTGAAGGACTCCATGCAGGTTGAATGTAACTTCTACATCCTCACAGAATCCGGAGGAGTCTGCTAAATGGAATCCACGAGTGTTTGTCAGTACATTTATTGAGCTTGACTTTGGATGTATTCATGGTTTATTGCTTTATACCCTTTATGTCATTAGTAATTTTTGGAATAACTAAAGCTCGTTTCTTGGTTCTCCGTATTAGGAGGGCATCCCCGACAAAAATGAAGACCTATACATATGCTAAACACCAAAAAGTATAAATAAAAAAAATATTCAACCTAAAAAATAAAGTATTTTGAAAAAAAATTCATCAAAGACTCAACGGAGGCAGCCGGCCCATTAAAAAAAAAATTTATTTACAAAACTATTTGTAAATTTTTAAAAAATATCCTTAATTTTTTATAAAAAATTTAAAAATATCTCAACTCAATTTTTAATAATACCTTGCTATATATTGTGTCGCTCCCTCTCATACAATTCTAATTCATCACCACCATAAACCATCAAATCCACGTAAAGTAGGGGATTAATTAAAACTCAATCAAATTAAAGTTTATTGTTGATAAGAATTGAGAGGTTGCATGATTCTACAATCCTAAATTAAGAATTTTAAGAAATAACCCAAAGTCAAGTGTGTTTTATAAAAAAAAATGTTATATTTATTCGTCAATTGGGCAGAATATAACAATTTGAAAAAGGTGAATTATTCTTCCGCTGAACTTGGGATGCACAAACCAACTTGGCCACCGCATAGTTGTCCTTTAGTTCCTTTATTCTACACGTTTCTTAAACAGAAAGAACCATGTATTTTGGTGTATTTTCGAAATTGCCCATAGAGAAGAAGTCAAAATCAAATTGAGTCACTTCTTTTTCATGAATCTACTAACCAAGGCAGCTGAGGTGGCAGGAAGATATTGGTCCACGTGCACCTTTTTTTATAATTGAAAAGTTATTTTCATAAATTATTTTCAAATCCCTTGGACTGCGATTTTTTTTTTTGATAAGTCATTAAATGTGTGTGTGTGTGTGTGTGTGTGGACGATAAAATAAAATAAAAAATTTCTTAGATATAAAATGTGTGTTTTTAAGTTCAGAGATGGGCATTCTGGTGGATGATAAGCAGATCAAGGGTGATTAGGTAATAATATTTGAAAATGCCACTTTAAGCATAAAAAGAGTAGCACAAAAGGTTTGAATATTCCTTCTAGGTAATTAAAATAGAATTAATTTTTGCAGGTATTAATCATGGTTTGGTTTGGTTAAATTCTAAAGTTTCCTTTTTTTGTTAAGATTGTTAACCTATCATATTAATTTCATGAAAAATGTGCTCTCCCCACTCTCTTTCTATTGTGTGATGTGTCTCGCACACATCATGCTTATGTAATACTACCATTATGCAAAAAGTGAGATTAAAATGGTAAATTGCACTCACACTCTTCAATTTCAAGTGTCGGTTAAAGACAATTAATTACAATTTGAGTACTGTTTTGTTTAAACGATGACACTCTCCAACTTTGTCAAATTGAACCATTACACCCCAATTATCTTTAAAGTAATATAAAATATCTAAATTACCCCTCAATAAAATATTATATTTTAGACCATAATATCAGTTTAACAAAATGATCAAAATACCCTTCAGTCAATTTACCTTTAATCTCCTCCCTTACTCCTCTCTCCCTCTCCACATAATACAATTATCCTTTTTATTTTATTTTTTACCATCAAGGTTACTATCATGGTCAGTCATGACTACTATGAAGCAGATGACGACTCTGATGTATAAAATGGTACAATTTTCAGAAGGGATGAAAAAATTGAAAAGAGTCTACTACTATTTGTTTAGCAAGGTGGAATGGAAGAAAAGAGATATTAAAAAATATATTAGAATTAAGGATGTTTTTTCAATTTTATCTAACAAAAGTTCATTTTTTTCTTCTTTATCTTTCTCATTCTTTAATGCAAAAATTAATGAAAGGTTGGTTGCTCGCTTTATTCCTCCCTCCTTTTTTTTTTTTTTTTTTTACCAAACGTAACATATACACACAATGCCAGATAAAATCTATTGATTTCTTTGCTTTTTCAACTAAGAGTTTTCTGGTCTCAATTCAATCTTAACTATAAAAATCACTCTAAGTGTGTAAGAAAATCAGCTTAAATTTTAACTGAGTTCTCGTCCAAATTCCTATTTGTAAAAAAAAGAATGCAATAACTCAAATATATATAAAAATTATTTTAATATCAGAACTTGCCGTATATGTTACATTTAAAATTCGAATTAAAATTTATCAGATTCTAATTTTTAAGGCTAGAAAAATTTTAAGAAATAAAACATGTATGAAAAATAAAGTCCGATGGCATTCAAGTGTTTTATGCTGACAGTCAGATGGCATTCATGGGTCAGATGAACATTCCTGATCCATGCCAAGACCTTCCATCCCTTTGGTGATGGAGGAGATTTAACTGTATATTGAGGGAAGGGTATTTTGATCATCTTCTTGAGTTGATATTTTGGTTCAAAATATAATATTTTATTGAGGGGCAATTTAGACATTTTATATTGTTTCAAAGATAATTGGGGTGTTATTGTTCAATTTGACAGACTTTGGGATGTCATCATTTCTAAATTGTAGTCCGCTCTCTTTAACTCAAAGCTGAGGAATGTGAATGCAATTTTTATATATATATATAATGTCGGTTGAATCTCTCTCTATATAATCTCTCGAGAGAGAGAGAGATTCAACCGACATTATATAGATATATAAAGGAGATTCAACAATATGCTCTCAAGTGGTCATTTTTTATCTCAAGTGGTTGATTTTACTCACCTAAACTCTAATAGAAGTACATCAATGACTCAATGGACTTGCTCCATGCTTGTCTACCTCAGCATTATGTTTACAAGTTCAATGGACTTGCTTCATAAGACATAATCAGAATGGCAAGACACTCAGACTAAAGATTAATACTCTCTTCATGCGATCTTTTAAGGCCCCATACATCAGACCCTCCCAAACCCCGACACTTTCTAATAAACACAAGTGGAACATTTAAGAAATGCCTAATACGAGGTTATTTGGTGCAAAAGCACCTAACTGACCTTCCAATTATGCTTCTTTCTCTAGCAACACACACACACACACACACACACTCACTATGTAAGTCAGCATTCTCAAATCATCAAAGGACCAGAGCTGTAAACATTTTCCCAACTTATGCTTATCAAGAATATGCTTTTGACGTAAACATCATAATCACATAATGACTACACAACTAGTAAAATGAAAAATTTTAGAAGCAAAGTTCAAACTTAGAAGAGTCTCACCATAAATTTACTAGCAGAGATAAATTATGGTGCATAATAAGTCTTTGAATTTGTGAGTATTCACAAACCATTTTTAAATCATTGGTACATTCAATTCATTAATTAATAGTGCCATAAAAACTAATCAAGCCTTAAACGATCAAACATCAATATCAGAAAACAAGCATTAAAACTAAATTGCAAAGCATCTGGAAATTACAACAACTCCAACAGAGGAGCACTAAATAAGACACAAAGCGTCATTTTAGTATCTCCCTCTGCCCCTAAACCCACCACCACGGCTACCTCCTCGAGGGCCACCTCTGCCCCTAGGAGCGCCCCTTCCACGAAAGCCACCACCCCCACGTCCACCACCTCTGCCACCTCCTCTTCCTCCACCTCGGCCTCCACCTCTAGCAAAAGCTCCCCTGCAAAAATAATAAAATATTCAATTCAATTAAACGTAAAATCATGGGCGCTTGAAGGCACAAACCAGATCAAGGATTAATTCCGTATGAGTTCTCTGCAGTGAATCAAAGAACAGTAACCAACTCCAATTCAAAAGAATTGACAAACCAATTATTGAACAGCAAACAATACCCACAAGAAGCCTAACAGCATAAGCTACATGGCAGAAAGGAGGTGGAAGAAAGTCATTTGGTTCAATATTTAAAATATACGACCATTTTACTAGGACTAAAAACACTAAAAAACATGTCTATAAGCTAGGACTAGAAAATAACTGAACTCACTATTCATGAACCACCTGGACTAGACTCATTAAAGGCTTTGTTCGTGTTCTTTCATTACGAAAACAACACTAGCTAGAGCATAGATTGTGAGCTCATTTGTTAGTCTAATCGTGGCTCGTGAACATATACTTAATGAGTTTATCTTTTATGAAAACTTTCTTCCCTGTTTATTTAAAAAATCAAAGTAATGGTGAACACAATTTAGTCGAGAATCAAGATCAAGCTCAATTTTTTGAAACATCATGAATCCAAAGCCAATCTCAAGCTAAGCCCACAACATAAACAAGCAAAGTCTGGACGGTCTCAAGCAGGCTTTAGCTCGATTTGTTTTCAGCCCTAATGTGTATGCATACTAATGCAAATATAAGCATTTTGCATCGACATACTTATGGATTAATATATAGGTACATAAAAAAGTGAATATATATGAGAATATGCACAAAAAAAAAGTATTGTAAATGGATTACATCTGCACATTTATAGAATTATAAATTAAGTGTATTGGCAGGGTTCATATTGCATGTGCATTCGTTTCTTGCCCCTTTAAACACACACACACAAGCATATTTGGCATATGAGTACAAGTGACAATCTGGAAAATGATTCACCAAAGCAACCCCCAAGTCATTTTCAGGTTTTCAAGCAACTTCCATTTTCCCCAAAAAAAAAAAAAATTATAAGAAAGTGAAAAACATCTTAAAAAAAAGCAATCAAACACCAAAAACTTCTGAAAATATTTTTGAAATTGCTTTACATAAGAAGAAATGTATGAGTGTTAATAAAATAACGATACTAAGGCTAGCATAACATACATGCAAAAAAGAAGAAATATCTAATACAAGTAGTGTTTGACCAGATAATTAGGTGAAGAGTAGGCCCGTAATATTGGCTTACCCTGTCCTAGCCTTACAAAAAAAAGCCTCAACATAGGTTACACATGCTGGACAAGCCATTGCGACTATTGAATTGGTAATGATATATCCTCCAACGTTTTATTGCCAAAAAGCCTCCGAATCCAATGTGACTTTGCCACATCAATTCTATCTCTTTGATTACCCACCTAATTTGTTTAGGCGCTAGAGACCTCAAAAACCTGGAAAGTTAAAATGTTTAATCCTGTACGGCTTTCTCTCTCCCTGATTTCCCTGGCCCTCTCTTTCTCTGTCTCTGATAGTTCATTCATTCTTCATCTTCTCCATCTGTCTTCTTCCTCTCAATTTTGATTTTCATAAACCTTTCATGAAAATTTATTACTGTGAACCTAAGAAATGACCAAAGTAACAAATCATGGATAAAACCGAAATGATCTGATGTTGTTACAAGTCCTAACGCCTTAGAAATTAAGATCAATATATATGATTTTTTGGCACCATCCATCAGGAAGCTTTTGGCCTTTGCAGGGATAGCTAGTACCAAACTCTTTCAAGGTAGTAATTGATAAGGATTAATACATTCGAAGTTTCATTAGCTCTATCCCCCACAAATAAGTTCAAACTCTTTTGTTTGATTTATCATAACAATAATAAAATAAAATAAAAATCAGTCTAAATGGTCTATGTTTGTCAAACTAGCTATAGTCGGTCTCAATGTCATTGTTCCATACACACACACACACACACACACATGAATATTTTGTTGTGGTCAATCTCACTCCAAATTTTATTTCAATACTTCGTTATTTGATTAAGCTCAGACAAAAAGAGAGTGAAGACAAAACATAATATATATATATATATATAATGACAACAAGACAATCACCAACTCTGCTATGCTTAGATGAACCAGAGAAGATATAGATAGGCAGCAACAGAGAGAGAGGATGAACCATAGAAGATATAGACTAGAGGCATAAACGGAGAGAGAGAAAGGACGAGAGGCAAAAACAGAGAGAAAAACATGCTCATAAGTACCAACGGGCCAGTGGCCTAGCGGTATCAGGCCCCTGCTTCCCAAAGGGAGGTCAAGGGTTCAAGCCTTAGTGGAGGCATGTGTGTGTGAGTACCAACTAAGAAAAAAACAAAAAACATGCTTATAAGTAGAATTAGTTTTCTGTTCCAAATTCGATAATTATTTACCTGAACTGGCTGCAATTATTCCCTTGACTAGAAATTGTCCATAATATTCAGTACAAGGAACATTTACGCTACCAAGGGGAGATAACTAATGTAGGATAATAGTTTATTCTTTACATAATATGGTGAATATAGAGTGTTTTACTTGATACCCATCTAAACTCCCTAATGATAAATATTGATCAATTGATGCAAAGTGTTCGAGCAAGAACAGCAAAATTATTTGTCAAAAAACAACCTCTGGCTTTTGTAATCAAACTATCTAAATAATACATTTTAAGAAGCATAAAGTGCTATTAAATCCCGTGTGAACATTCTAAGAGCATAGTAATAACTGATTCATACAAAGAAAAACACAAATTCTTTTGGTATTTAAATAGTAAGTTAAAACAAACATACTTAGGCTGCGTAAGAAATCTTGACAGCGGCAGAAGCTTTGCCGGGTCAATGTAGAACTTATCGCCTGAGGAATATGAAGTTGCTACTATGCCTTCCATCATTTTAATTGAAAATAACTACAAATAACCAAAAAAAAAACCTGCATCACTCAGATGTTAAACATAAACTTCAATACATATTACAAATGAGGATATAGGTAACTTGTAACAAAAATAATGTAAGCGACGAGTAAAGACCCTAAATTTTGTCAAAAATTGACAAGTTAAGAAGGCTCACAGATTCATTGATGGGACCAAATATTTCATCCACTTTGCCAATCTGGGTTTTGTTATGCAGATAAATAGGAGCATTAAAGAAGGGTATTTTCTCATTTGTGAGCTTCGTTACTGCATCACCCTCGCAGGCATGAACAAATGTCGACACCTCTACATACATCAAAAAGCCTTATATGAATAAAATATACATATAAATATACATGCATATATCCATACATTCATATGGTTTGGTACATAAACGAAACACAAAAACCGAACGAAAAAAAAAAAAAAAAAAAACAACCTATAACTTCGGCTGGAGGGCCTTCATCCCGAAAACTGCCACGGCCACCACCACCGAATCGACCGCCCCTAAATCCACCGCGGCCACCATCTCTGCCGCCCCTGAATCCACCACTGCCGCCATCTCTGCCGCCCCTGAATCCACCGCCGCCACGGCCTCTCGGAGGTCTCATGTTACCAATGGGAGCAGAGCAGAAATCTCGAAACAACTCCAAGCGGGGGAGGCTAGGGTTTTGGGCTTATAAAAATTTGTTTGCTACCAAAAAAATAAATAAATAAATAAAACAAACCTATACCTTTAACATGAAAAGTGCGTAAACAACACTGATAAACACTTTTTTTTCTTTTTTTTTTTTCTTTCTTTCTTTTTTAATAACGCATAAAATCATTATTAAAAAAAAAAAAAAAAAAACCACCCTCAACTATCTATAACTCCCCTAAACTACCTCATCTATTAGTTACCTAAACTATTAAATTATTATGTAACTCCCCCAAACTACCTCATTTATTAGTTTAATTAGAATGTGACCTTCAATTAAAGTTCAAAAAATTGATGCTCAGAATATCCTTTTAAGAGTCTAAAATACCCTTTTTAATAGTGATACTCATATAGAAGAGTTGAACAAAATTTATTGGCGGAATATTCTTAATTGGTCACTTATGTGATAGCTTATATTTTACATATATTGACTAATTAAAAATATTTGGTCAAAAAATTCTCTAAAATTTCTGGACTTTAAAAATATTTTCCTATAACTAAATTCGTGTTTATAAAAATCTCATTCTCAATAATAGCTAATGTTATTGTGTTAGTATCTTGCTTCACTGACTTTGGTGAGACTACTCTGCACAAGATCGTTGCAAATTTTTAAAATTTGGTTGCCTCCTCTTTATAGCAATAAGAATTATACAAACTATTGTATTGGTATTAATAAAGTTTTATTAAAAATATTAGCATTTTTTTCCATTTCCTCCAATTTTTGATAAATAACAAAAGCTACTATTTATACTTTATTCTATCCCTCCAAATCCTTCATTTTTATTTCTTTTTCATCCAACATTTTCAACCAAACACATTTTTTTTTTTCCTTCCATTACCATTCTCTTCGTTTCCTTTCATTTCCATTCCTCCAATCTCGCCAGAAAAACACAAAAAAAATATTTATGACCTAATGACATTATGACAACATCTAAGACATATATTTTAACTAAAAAAAACATCAAGACATGTATCCACTATAAAATATAAATTCCTATGTAGATTTAACATGTGCAATAAACATGTATCCATTAAAATAAAGGGCAAAATTACACCAATATATATACTCCCAAAGCCTCACCTACCACATTAATATCCATCGAATACAACAGAGCCTCTAGGATTTCCTTCTGTGATATAGGGATATCATATATATAAATGTTCAATATTGAAGTTAGGAGGTAACATCATGTTCAGATTGTTAATTCATGAAAAGCAAAAAAGATTTAACCATGGTCTTGCAGTCAAAGAATGTATCATATCTCTAAAATTGAAGTCCTAAATCTGATATAGACATGCACAAACAAATAAAAAAAAAAAATACTCCATATAGTGTAGTAGGGGTCCCCCAAAGGCTAAATAGCATCTATTAATAGTCCTCAAAGGACTGCAAAAATGCCCAATAGCTACAAACCTTTCATACTTTAGGGACTATGTATTATTCTTAGCTGATCACTAATGAAATTGACACAAGACATCCAAAATGGTTTCCATGTCATGGCTGATGTGGGTCAATGGACCTGTTCCATCATCATGTTTACAAGTTCAATGCACTTGCTTCACCCCCATCCTCCCCCTCCCCCCCCTCCTTTCCAGGTTAATATATATATATATATATAATGCACTTGCTCATAATAGCAAGACATTAACGATTAATTTGCTATTATTTAGATCTAAAGGTCACAGGTTTAAAATCGAAAATAACTTTTTCATGCTGAGATAAAATTACGTACATCTGACTCTCAAGACGGTGCCAGACCCTGCAATGGCGAAAGTCTCGTGCACTGGACTGACCCTTTTTTTAATTAATGATTTCTAATGGCCACCTATGGGACTGCTGGGTGTGACTGCTAGGGTTTGCGTGACTGTGAACTAACATGTGCATCTATAAGATTAGCACATAGCAAACCAGGACAAAACCAACATTTGGAGCCAGAAGCTGCAGCATGAGCAACATGTTTATTTATTAGTTTATTTTTAAAAAGAAGGGTGCTTTCCTTGCAGTTTCCAAACACAGTAAGTTAAAAGCCTAGAGATTTTAAACACGAGTGTGAACATTAAAGAAATGCCTAATATGAGGTCCTTTGGTGCAAAATCACCTAACTGACCCTCCAATTATCCTTCTTTCTCAGGGAAAAACCAATGAGATATTTTCTATTCAAGCTACTCAATCTTTGCCTCTCTCTCTCTCTCTCTCTCTCTCTCTCACACACACACGCACACACACACTAGGTAAGTCACAGTCATTCACCCCACACCCCAATTTGGAAAATTAGCATTCTCAAATCATCTGAAAACCTCAGCTGTAAACTTTTTCCCATCTTATGCTTATCAAGAATATGCTTTTGACGTAAACATCATAATTGCTACACAACTAGTACAATGGCAAAAAAATAAAAATAAAAATAAAACTTTGGATTCGCGAGTAATTATATACCATTTTTAAATTTGACGGTTGATCAAAAAAAAAAAAAAAAAAAAAAAAAAAATCTCTAAACTAATGAGGCATTGTGGGGTTGGTACAAAAACTTCAACATGAAAAGGAAAAAGTGCCATAAAATACGGCATAGAAGGTCAGAATTCAGTTTTCCACATTATCTAAAACCAGGAATTCCAAGTCTAACAAGGATGCTGAGAATCACCTTTAATAGAATCCCACTCATTCAAAATAAATTTGAAAAGAATGTCAAAGTTAAGTTTTACCAAACTCGAGGCGGCCTGCTGCTTATTTCGCTATAAATAGTACAAAGTGTTGTTCACTTACATGTACAACCACCTTCTCTGCTTTGCTAATCTCATTAATTCTGTTTTCGAATCTTCTCTACAATGGCTCTCTCTTACCAGTCTCTTTTCTTCCTAGTAGCAACCTTGCTTCTTATGCAAACTCTGGGAGATGCCGCGACGTGCAGCGACTGTTTCATCCAGTCTCGGGCAGCTCACTACCCCAATTCTGACGAACAAGGAACAGAAAGTGAGAATTCAAACTATACATACACGTGTGTGTGTATATATATATATACACACACATATATGATTCGTCGTTTATTTGTTACAGTAATTATATAATTCGTCTTCCATTTACTTGCAGCTGGAAGATGCGGGTATAGTTCGTTTGGAGCAACAATTAATGGTGGGGATGTATCGGCTGCATCTGATCTCTACCGAGATGGTGTAGGCTGTGGTGCTTGCTACCAGGTGAGCAACACTCTTTATATATATATATATATAAAGGAAAATATGTTATATACAGTTTTGAATCATGACATGGACATGGTTTATTTATTTTTATTTATTTTTGGCTCATGCACTAGGTGAGATGCAAGGACAGTAAGTATTGCTCAGATAATGGAGTGACTGTAGTGATAACTGACCATGGCTCAAGTGATAGCACCGACTTTATCCTGAGCAGGCGAGCCTTTGCTCGGATGGCTCAGACAACAGATGCAGCTGCAACTCTGTTAGCCCTCGGTGTAATTGATATCGAATTCAGACGGTAAGATGTGTGTGTGTGTGTGTGTGTGTGTGTTTTAGCATCTATTGACACTTTTTATTTTCATTATTCCATGAAGCTGTTTTAACATAACACACAGAGTTCTGCTACTTCCTTAAGATTTCTGAAAATTTCTCTCTCCTCCTTTCCAAACAGGATTTCATGCAGCTATCCAAACAAAAACATTACATTCAAAATTGACGAGAATAGCAACTACCCTCATTACCTGGCTTTTGTTATATGGCATCAACAAGGCAACGAGGACATCACAGCCGTGCAGCTTTGTGAGGTATTTCCCTTTTTATTTCAACATTTGAACCAATAATTTCTTCGAAATTTACCCGATATTAACTTGGCAATAGTAATTAAACTAGGTGCATAAAATAATTGCAATTTCACATGTCTCAAATATGTGTTAAAAATTCTTTTTTTACTTCATTTAATTTATTATTTATTTGATTACATGTAGACACAAAATTTCGTGTGCAAGCTAGTGGACCGGAGTTATGGAGCAGTATGGACAGCAACCTCGCCTCCTAGTGGACCTTTGCAAATAAGGATGCTATTCAATGGCGGGGACGGAGATGAGCAATGGGTTGTTCCGGTGAATAACATACCTGAAAACTGGAAAAGAGGAGATATATACGACTCAGGAGTACAAATTACTTTATAGCCAACTACACTGGACTCTGTTTCTTATTGATTCCATTTATCTCGGTAGGAACAGATCAGGAAAATGTAACACACCTATATGGCACTTCAAAATACAAACTAGCAGAAATAAATCAACAAAGTAATACACTTTTAATTTGGTATCATCAAAGTTCTTGTGATTCTGTGGGTAGGTTCTGCATAAGGTGAATTGGCCTAGAACGTTGGAGCAATGTGTTTATTACCATTGGACTCTACCAAATCTGACTCACACCTCAAATCAAACACCTTGGGTGCATCAGAAATTCTTCCACAAACAGTGCACGTATGAATAAACGAATCACAAACAAACAATTCCAAGTCGAACCTGAATTGAACAACCCACACGAGGGTCTTCTCTCCTTCTCAAACCAAAACCAAAAGATTCACCAACAACAGGAATATATAATGATCGGGTTAGACACTTACCATCATTCACCGATAGCAATGCTTAAAGTACAATGTGGCTCATGTGGGTCGTTCAAGTTCATGTGGACCTTAGTCTTACTCTAGCATAAGATGACATTCTTTGACTGTAATAAAATTGTATCAGCACTCATTTTGGATTTGGAAAATGATCAACAAGATTGTCTTGAAACACTAATCAAAACCAATGTTAGCTTACATTGTACATGACAATTTCACAAAACATTATATGACTCTTCCAATAAGACTGGTAAACACTATTTCATTGAAAAACTGTGGCTTTACCATATCAGATACAGATTTCAAACACCGGAAAAAAATTGGGTTTTTAAAAGTGCCAGAAAAAACACATTGCTTAAAGGAAAGAATGAGTAACGAGATGGCCTATAATTGGTGCAGCTTGACCCAAAAGCAAATATCTACATAGAAACCATTTCGTCACTGCCAACTCTGAAGCTGCTCTTGCCAACTATTCCACCTCTCACCTACGACATCTCCCGGAACCTGGCAAGGGCCTTCTTTTGAACGACGGTTCGATAACTGTCGCCAGCCTGCACCACAAGGTTTCGATCCAACTTCTTTTGTTGACTCCCAAGTCCTGCTCTACTTTCCTTGGTTTGTGCTTGGACCGGCTCTATCATGCCACTACTATCCTTCCCCAATCCCTGCACATCAAATGGATATAAAACATTCAAGGGCTATTTACAGTCACAAATCTGAAGAATAAAAAGCTTAAACATCAGACAATGTCCGTCGGATTTGTGGTCAGAATAGATGATTCATAACAGCTTCTGACAAGTTTGTTAACATTTAAAATATATGCAAGTGCAAGAGTGGGAAACTGTACCGAGCCTTCATGCCAACCCATGTTGCGGAGCATCCTATTTCCCACATTACTCTCATCAATTGCTTTGTCTGCTGTGATCACCTCATAACTCTCAGCACCGCTATTAGCATCCGCAGCACCCCGTCCTCCGCTAACACCAGGGGGAAAAGGCATTGAATCCACTAAACCCCTTTTGTATGCCAAATCTCGATCTTGAAAGTACGGGAATAGTAACAACACAATTTTCTCACAAGTTAATACATAAATTGTGAAAAAAAAGTAAAGCAACCAATCGTTGAGCTTGTACAAGATACAACAATACAACTGACTCGCAATTAAATTTTGTCAGATGACCCACAACTATGTATATAAAAAGTAATGGAAATGCCAATTGCAATGGGTCTAATCTTATTGGACCTATTTACCGCGCGCGCGCGCGGGGGGGGGGGGGGGGGGGGGAGGGGGGGTGGGAAATAAAAAGGACCTTCGTAAATACATACAAATGATGCATCCAAAATTGAACTAGTAACAAAGAGGAGAGGCATGCCACTCAACAAAAATTGTTAGAGAAGCTTACTTGAATCACCAATCCCCTGGTTGGTTAGATCATCTCCAATAGAAGACGATGAACCATACAAACTCCTTCGTTCAGCTGCACGATCCCTATAGGTAGTCTGTGGCTGTTCCTTGTGAGTAGAAGCTGGCTGCAGTGGCATCTCGGTAAACCTCCTCTTACCACTTCCCGAAGCCACAGGCGATGCATAAGAACCCAATGAAGATGCATCTGTTCTAAAGGACGTCACAGTTGTGGGTACATCCATATTTGTCAGTGAAGATGAACCTGCATTGTGTGAAGCAGCAGATAAAGAGGTGGAAGTTTCCCCTGATGATCCTGAATATGTGTCTGATTTCACCACACCTCTTCCAGAGCCCCTAATTACTCCCATTAATGTACTGCCTGAACTGTTACCCACAGGCCTTGGCCTATCCGGAGCCTCCAGACCAATAGATTGAGCAGCAAGTGTGGTTGTGGTAAATCCAGAACCCGATGTAATATGCTCCTTCGTGGTCACTGCATCAGTTTTAAACTTGCTTTTCATGGATGAACCAGCAGAATAGGATCTGTCTTCGGCAGAACCAGATGGCTGATTGTCATCGAGAGTCACATGGGGTGCTTTCCCTTCATGATTCCTATTCTTCCACATTGTCAGTACATTATTCATTTTCTTCTTGTTAGCCAAAATACTACTCTTTGAAGCAAGTCTCAACTCCTTTACTCTCTCCTTTTCTTTCTTCTCTGCAGCTATTGCGGCATTGGCAGCAGCCTGGACAACATCTGGTAATGAGGCAGCCTTTTCAGCCGATGTGATTGTAGCAGCTGGTGCAGAGATGACTACTTTTCTATTTATGGAACCATCAGATGCCTTGGAAGGTTCAGTTTGTTTTCCAGATGTTGTGTCGTCATTCTGACCGGTGCAGGGGACATACTGCTGCTTTTGGTTGTCGTAAGAGTACCATATCCCGTTGTTACCATCATAATACAAACCTGTAGAGTGATAAAATATTCAAGAAAAATATAAAACAGAATATAGTAGGGATCAACATTCAGGAACTGGACCGATATCTTAACATGGCAGGAGTGCCCATCATCTAAAAATCTAGCAGCAATAAGTGTTCACAAAATAATTCCTCCTTCCAAGGCATATCTTTAGAAGTAGATTCAATCCCACCCCTCCAAAAAATTAAATAAATACATATAATAATAATAATAAACTTTACTTATTACAAAAATCTTACAGCATTTGAAATGGAGATAATCAACTCTGATCTTCTCCAGGATAAACCCATTTAAGTATTACACGTACACATATATAGATATGAAAAACATGCACACGTTTACATTATTCTTTTTACTAAATAAAAGATCACTGCAAAAGTGATTCCTAGAAGAAATGCAAGCTCCTATTTAAAGAAAAAGAGCACAGCTTCTGGAGATCATTCTTCATTCCCCAAACGAACCTAAAAAAGAACCTCAATTGCTCGTAAGAAAATTTCGAATGTAATTGAACATGACATAACAGGATATAAAACAGAATTATTCTCTGCTATTATCAAGGTAGGGAGGCATTGGTGGTCTGGCCTATAAGTTCTAAAGTAAAAGTTCCTAGGCCAAAATATGACAGAGAATCAAAATGTGTGAGTCCCACATAGTAGCATGATGCGTGAGCAACAGTATCAAGCAATTAAAACAGACACTCCACTTAAAATTTAAAGAGTTAACATTACAACATAAAATCAATTCTCAACCATATGTACAAAATGATTAAATTTTGAAAGCAGCCTACAGAAAATCCAAACAATAAACCAACCTGTATTCCCATCATAATAGAACCCAGAAGCAGAATCATAATAGTAGCCAGATGCCTCATCCCACACAAAACCAGATTTCTGAGCCAAAACATCTTTTTTAACTGGGAGCTCCCCACCACCCTGCTCCTGCCCTCTAGTGGATTGTTTGTCATCTGGGTTATATTCTTTTGGTGCCCATCCAGCGGAATCATACTGGAAGGATCAAAGGAGTGAATATTCATTCAATAAAATTAGTCAAGCACATAAAAAAACCTACTAGCATTGTTCAATACAACAAAATGAGAGACCAGCCAGGATATGAGGGGGGGAAAATATGTGTCGGCGTGTATATAGAACCCGCATGCTTCTCCCTGATTTTTTAGATGACAAGAATTCCTCCAAAACACATCAAGATCAGCACAGTAAAAGGGTTTTAAGTGCATTTCATGACATGGGAATTACAAAAGAAGGGATGGATAAACGATCAATAACCCAAGCACAAGCTGCAGATAGTGCTGCAACATGTCCAATGCACATAATTATCTTCTTCTTTCCCCTAGTATAACACACAGGTGTTCCAGTTGGGACTTGAACTCTACACCTCTTATGGAGAATGAGATATTACTGGCACACAATTCAATTTCGGATTTCAGAATTCAATTTTGGATAATTAATTATTATCATGAGTTTCAGAATTCCCCTTTCAGTTTATCTTCTCACCCCCTTCGTTTGTCTTCTCATCTCCTTCTACCCTCATCTCATCTCCTGTCTTCTCATTCCCTTCTTTCTTTTTATTCTAATCAGCTTGGTTTCAGACAATTTTGACCCTGCGTCAGTTTCGTATCAGAGGATATTAGTCCTGCATCAACCTTTGTCTTAGAGGTGAGAGGAGATACTACAAGCTGTCAGCAGTTGGGGAACAGGTACCTTATAACAATCAAATAATAATAACAATTTTGCGAAAAGGAGAGAAAAAAGGGTTGCATCGCATCATAGATTGAGTATGGTGCAATGCACTAAGTTAGTGATGCCATTTCCTTTTGTTCATTCTTATATCAACACCTCTTCTTATGATTCATCGAGATGTATTATTATCTTATTCCCAATACAAATACGAGCATAAACCATCACGCGCTGGACCTCTACCACTTAGCAAATCTTTTACATGGTTTTTAGTTTGTCAAATGTCTAGAAATCCCTAATCTTTTTCAACAGTTTTCTTCACAAAAATTATTTGCTTTTAATAACTATCCAATTGGAATGTCACATGAGTTGCTGTATAAGGTGGCTTGTCTATGTGCTGAAATTTTTCAATCCTATCTCTAAGGATGTGAACGCTAAACACTCTTCTAGATCCTGTTCTTAAGCTTATTCTTGAATAAATTTCAATTGGCAATCAGACTACACATGCTCCAAATATGGCTTAAATGATTGAGTTAATTATGCTCCAACAACACTCTATTAATGCAATACATCACCTCTATCATAACCAACTGAAACCGATAAGATACAAACGCTGATCACATTAAATTTGATTTGATCAAGCAATACTCCTAAATATAGATCATGAACCCCAAGTAGTTGAGCAAGGAGGTTTAATTGATTTGAGGCACCTGGGAAAATGATTTTTGCTTTCTCTAGATCATCTAAATCAGTTTTTGCTATCAACACTGAGATCTTCACTGCTTGAGGGTCTATGTGAAGCTTCCACCAAAGAAGTCGAACAGATATATGGATATAATGGAGGCAATGGTCCTGGGAGATGCAATTACTTCCCTCCGTAGATTAGGATTTTACTGCTTCTATAGAAGTGAAGTTCCAATGCTGTAGTCAAACAGTCAACTCCTTGGCTAGGAGAGGAGCAATCCCTCTCCATACTTTTACTGTTCAACTTTAAACCGCCTTGTCAGTTTTCTATGAGAAGTTCTGTGAAATATTTTACTGTGTTGCATTCTCTCTTTAGTGAGACAGTTGAAGTAACAATTGTTTAAGATAGAAAATTGCCTAAAATAGTTTGCTCGTGCAAAATTACATCAATGAGATTAAATGTCAGGATAGGAGGAGACAAACAAAAATTAGCCTGGGTCGATGGATTGAGACATTTAAGGAAAATAACAGTATACAGTTCAACTAAAGCTATAGCCCATGATTAAACAAAACGACAAAAAAGATTTATTTAATCTATCCCAAAATGTGGCCAAGGTTTTGCTGAGTCGACATGTATTGTATTTCATTGAAGAGTGTCCTATCCTTACTTTACCCCTAAGTTGAAGAAGAAGAAGAAGAAGAAACCTAGTTTTCTATAAAGAAAAATAAAATCCTTTCCGCACATCTTTTGTGCTCCGATACTGTTGCCTTCTTGGGTATTGTAATAGAGCTAACAAAAAGCCAAATGGTCTGCCAATCGCTATTGATTGTGTTCCCTTCTCTTCATATTTTTCTCTACAAATCTGCTCTTAGTCAACATCGGCCCCTCAAACCTCCACCCGTCAAACCCTTGCCCATAAGGGGAAGAGAGAGGTGGCAGCAAATGAATTTAGGGACTGTTATTTAAGGCCTTAGAGTGGGTCTACCATACTTCACAGAGAAAAACACATAAAAACCCATTCCCTTATCAGATACGTCTGTCAAATTATGTTTCAATTGTAAAATCATTAATTGACAGAGCATAGTTTTCCTATCTTATTTTCATGTAGAAATCAATAGTTTACACATACAAGTGAAAGTCAACAAGCAGCTTCCATCCATGTAAACCAGATGTACAAATGCATTGTTTTGACACCAATTTGGGACATTTCATAATAACTAGATCAGAGAGATGATTATTAGTGTAAATTAAACAATACAATTACAAATTGACTAAGTTCCATACCATGCTCTCCAATCATATTCTATTTCCTCTCTAATCCTATTTATGTTCATGGTATAATTCAGCAGAAAATAACCAAGCTAGCATCAAGATTTCAAACTACTGTACGGACAGCCACATATAAATATATAATTAAATGAAAGGTGGGAAGATACATTACCTGTTGAGAAAATGTTGCTGCCTCAATAGCAGCAGCTGCAAGACTGCTTGACTGAGAAGGTCCGGATGCTCCAGATACTGGTCCAAGAATGCTTTTTGCATATGCAACTCGAAGAATCTGCCCATTCTTCTCAAGAGTTGTACCATTTGTTGCTTCAAGAGCTTTGGTAGAATCCTCAACCTGCAAGGTAAGAGAGGTAGAAAACAAATCGGAAACATATTTATAGCTTGAACAATATGTTTCAAGAAACAACCACCGAAGACTTAGCCAAGTGGTATTTCCTCCTCCTTCCAAATGGAAGGTTCAAAGGTTAAAGTCCCCAATGGGACAATAGCGAATGTGTGCATGTGATTTACCTACCAATATGTGCGTGTGTTTCAGACAACAATATAAATGTGAACACAGTCTATCTTTATCAGGACTAAAATTGCATTAAGAAGGGGAAGAAGTACAAAGGAACAAAGACGAAACAATGACAAGAAAGCCTCTTCTTATGGTGCACATTTGTTTTTATATTTAAAAATGTTTCCTTTAATTGAGAACCAAAAAGTAGTCGGTCGATCCAAATCACATCAGTTTTATTTGATTCAGTTCTATCTTTAGTTTGATTTCAGGTTGAATTTTTTTAGAACTGACTTGGGTGGCTTCGGTTCTAGGTTTATGCTAACCAAACAGAAACAACCAGTGTGTACTCCTATCTGCCCAGAAATCCTTTCCGCCAGAATCTACAATTTTACATCATGAGTAGCAAATAGAGGTACAAACTTCAATGACCAATCCTAGGGCACAAATATATGCTCTTTGGTTCAGTTGTCCATTTTTATCATCTTCGCTGTATTCACTTGTTGGGGAAAAAGAAGAGACTAACAAACTGTAAGCACAGAACCAAGGCAGATGAGAACTTCTATAATCCCCCGCTCCACTGCTGATAGAGGGCAAATGAGCCTTGAATGCACGGCTTCTCTCTCCAAGGAGTGGGATCACCATATGATGATTGTAATAGTTCAGAAGAAACACAAATGTAACATACAGCCTAGATAACCATATGTAGGGATGAGAGCAGGCTGATCAGCTCGGGCCAGATTTAAAAGGTTTTTTTTTTCACATAGAAAGCGAGGCCCATGGAGTTAAAACTAGAGTCCTTGGCATGAGATAAAATGCTATAGCACTAATCTATGGACCTTATATATTTCTATAATATATAATATAGAAGTATTACGTATACTTTCAAGATTAGTTCTGCTAATTTTCTTAATCTTCTAAACATTAGATTTCATTTACATCTTCAACCATCCATCAATCCTGTGGCAGACTCTAGTAGTCGGATCACATCAAATTAGATAACTTCTACAGCAACAACTGCAACTCCAAAATGCACCAGCAGTGAAATCAAAATATGACTAAGGTAAGGATTGGTCAGATACCAACGGGCCAATGGCCTAGCGGTATCAGCCTCTTACTTCCCAAAGGGCGGTTAGGGGTTCAAGTCTCAAAAGAGGCAAGTGTGTGTGAGTACCAATTAGGAAAAAAAAAAAAAAAAAAGGATTGGTCAGATGACTAATTCATAATTAAACCAGCATGAATGCTCACCTCATCAATGACCGGAAAAAGGGAATGGCTAAAAGTTTACATAAACAGAATCGCAAAAACAGTTTACACCGAGACGCAAAAATGTTTACTTGAGGGTTATGGTCCTTATGGATGTTTTCTACAGAGTATATCATGTCTTATAAGTACAAAGATGGGAAAACCTTCATAGCACATCATATTGTAAACCTAATTAATTTAAAGTTCAAGGGCTTTTAGATGCATGAATATCTTACAATCAGAAATATATATGCCTTTTATGATAAATTTGGCTATATGGCAAGTCCAAAACATGAACTTATGTTAATTTTAGAATTTTTAACTTCTATAATAGCCTTTGGTTGCTAAGTAACGATTCAATACTTTCATAATAGCTAACTCTTATAGCGTCCATCAATACAATTTGTATTGAAAATGATTGCATTTCTTGATGTTCTAAATTCGCATGAAAATTCAAAATAGGCATATTGTAATGGGTTGGGCACTTGCCATCCGACCCAAAAGCTTAAGCTACTAGGTGGAGCTGCCTACCCACCCTTATAAGCCTAAGACCTTCCCCATCCAGATCTAATGTGAGTCAAGAACCCTCTTAACATTCTCACCCACCAGAACTCACAAAACCTTCGTTGTGGTTGGACCACACTGCCGACTAGAACCCAGACCCAGACAACACCAAGGTGGGCCCTTGGCGTGACACCAAAACAAGGATTGGGCCTGATATGATACCACTTGTAACAGGTCAGGCTATTGCCATCCGACCCAAAAGCTTACGCTATTATGTGGAGACGCCTACCCGCCCTTGTAAGCCCTAGACCTTCCCCATCCAGATCCAATGTGGAACAAGAACCCCCTAACAATATACTATGATTATGTAAACCACAACAAATATATGGTCATGTGAGCATAAGTCTATTCAACGGGCAAAATAACAACAGTGTCAAACAACCGCCTACCGAGTGAAAATGTACAAATGCAAATCCCCTTGAAACATGAGTAAATTTGTCTCTGACAAGACGAAGATCCTGCAAACTCAAAATCATTGCTTCAGAAAAATAAAACAAAGAAAAATAAAATAAACAATATTTAGTTAAGAGGCTAACAATCCATACCCTAATTGGAGCATGTTTGGAAAATTCATAACGAAGCATTTCTTCATCAGCATTTTCATCCAGTCCACGGACTACCAGAACATGTGTTGGACCTGATAACATATTAACTTAGAAAATTACTCCAAATCAAATCTGCCAGATGCAAGCCAGGATAAAGCATCAGAATAAACAAACCTGTCTCTCCTTTCTTCCCTAGTGCAGGATTTGATGATGCCATATCTGCTGGCGGAGCATCATCACTTCGTCCCACATTACACTGCTTCCAAAAGAGGCGAAGAAAAATCAGCGACTTAGTATTGATTCATTGCTACATATTTCTTGGGTAATATACAACACAAGCCTCAAATTTACACGACAAGAAACTCTCAAAGATCTAGATATGCATGGTGGACCCCAAAAAAAGTGCAATTCAAAATCTAAAAACATAATTCTTTTTATACTAAACAAATAGTCAACGTCAGCATCCTTGCCAAAATCCCATATGAATGAGGTCAGCCACATGAATTCTCTTTTTCCATTATTTTCCATTATGATGGCATATTTATAAAATTAATTGTGTGTTGAAGGATTAAATATTAAAATTACACCCTCTCTAATAGCTTACGCTTTAAGAGTAGATGGCTGTCAACATGGTATCAAAGTAGGCAAGGTCATGTGTTCAAACCTCACCATCACCCTGATAATTAAAATTGAAACACGTGTTGGACCAAAAGAAGGATCCACGTGAGGGGGCATATTGAAGGATTAAATATTAAAGTTACAACCTCTCTAACAACTTAAGCATTTAGAGTAAATGGTTGTTAACACTATGCAATAGCAGGACAGCAAAATCTAAACTGTCTACCACTTATAAACAAGAAGATAGCAGATATTTTTGTGTGACACAACACCATAAAGGAGTTGGTTTGGTATCCAACGCACATACTGCGCATCCAATATGTTCTGGCCTATGTTACACGGACTCTTCAAATGTAGTGAAGACCCATGTCGGACACATATTGCTCGGACATGGGTATGGGATATGTGTCCGACACTTTTTAGTGGACATGTACTTAAAAAGCATATCCAATCATTCAATTATATTATATTATTACTTTAAATTGAGTTAAATGCCTATATTGAACACTATATTTGATAAAAACATTACTTTACCCTAGAAAATAAATTAATAAAATGAATATTTAGCAGTGTCCACGTGTCCTTATGTTTGGAGATCTGACGCGTCCGACGCTTGGACGCATACCAGTGTCCGACACACATACCCGAGTCCAGGTAACATAGGTTCCTGCATAGCAAAGGTGGGATCTTAAAAGAAAAAGGGGAATAGTTGGACAAAGGCACTGCCATGTAGGGTTATCATATGTTCAACTCCACAAAATAAATTTCAGAGAGATGAACACAGTTTCTGGTGTTCAGCATCCTACATTGTCCTAGTCGCCATCCACCCTTAACCAACTCCTCTAAACCATAAAACAGGAGCTAAGAGGAGGAAAAAGGGCGTGTGCAGAAAAACACCTACCCACAATATATATAACTAAACAAAAGTCCTGCTCTTTCAATACATCCACATTAGAAGAAGCCTTTCTCGTAGATGACCAAAACGAATACAGCAAACTACATGCAGTGCACTAAGAATGCCATACAGATAGGAACAGAAAGAAACAAACCTGAAAGCATGATTTTCGCCGCGCAAAGTTGATGCAGCCACAGATGGTGCACATCCAATCAGATGGCAGTGTCATACCTTTATGGTTAGAATAACCTGATTTAACCACATTGTCTGGTCCAAAAGAAGATCCAGTTGGCTTGCTACTGCATCGCAATGACATCGCAAGTTGGAATAAATGTGCTTGTGGGAATAATTTCAATATAGATGTGAGACACTAAAGTATACTAATATAACATTTACATCACATTGAAGAATAAAATTCTTACAAATGTTTAAAACTGCAATTCATAAAACAGTTGAATAATATCTGGTTTAATTTTGACCACTATGAGCCATGACATGTCTTCAATTTCCAAAAAAAACAATGTACAGATACAATTATTAGATCAACAAAATGCCTCAAAATAGAGAGATTGCATGACATGAACCGACGTGGTTAAAAAAAAATACAAAGACGAAAGCACTGAGAAATGATAACCAAATGGGTCATCGGAAACAAAAGAATAAAATAAAGTGATTCTATATAATGATTACACAATTAAACACTGTTCCAGACTGTACATGCACACAGCCGTGGTTGCCTTAACACCCACAAAAACACCCAAAATCATAAGCAGGTTAAGTCCCAAAAATGGAAAAAAATAAAAGAATACATAAAAAAAAGATAGCAAGTAATGTATCTTTATTCCATTAAAAACTTCAGTATGTACCAAAAATATCTACTACAACAGTATATGAAGGAAAGATTCTGCACAAATTTGTGTAACAACCATGTGTGCAAAATGTATCTACCTGTACTCAAAGAAAAGCTTCCTACCATCCACAGAAAGGCCATCATCTCCAAGTTCATCCATCATTGCCCGAGCAGCTCCCTGTTTCACAACCATGAGACCCCTTGTGCGCCACAAAAACAAAATATCAAATATACAGGATGTGCATAATGGGTACCACAGATGGAAAATCAATAAAAGCAAATCCACGAGAGGCGCCAGAATTTCTCTCTTTTATCACGCGGATATGTTGAAGGGGTCCCCATTCAGCCTGATGACAATAAAAATTAAACATGTCACGAATTAGATAAACATTCGGCTGTACTAATAAGATTAAAAGAGGTAACAATATTAGCAGAGATTGGGTATTGTACGAGGATCTGGTATAAATCTTCTTCAGTTGTCTTCTGTGAGAGACCCTTCACAACAACAGTAGCAGATGGGGCCTGTAAGGAACCAGCACTCGAAGTAAATACCTTGAACTTAAAAAACTGGGAAACCAAATTAATAATATAAACGTGAAGCATACCACATAATAATGCTCGTGCCGGTGTTGCTCTTGACGATCCCTTCGCTTCTCATTCCTCTCATATCGACCATCATCATAGCTGTCCTCTCGATGACTTCGACATCGAGGAGACCTTGACCGTGACCTTGGGTGATCATCATGTCCACGGGACCGGGAATGCTCACGCCTTCTATATGGACTCTGATCTCTTTCCCGGCTCAAACATCTCTGTTCAGGTTCATGGGATTCACGCCTCCTATAATTACTCTCTTTCCGACCACCTCTATCATAATCTGAATCATAACTATGCCTGCCATAATCGTAATCCCTTTCGTGGCTATCCTCCCTGCTTTGATGGGAAATCCGAGGTCTGCCATTATAATTATCATAAGCATAATTGTCATGGTCACGGCCCCCAAACCTAGCAGGCCTACCAAATCTATGATCACGGAATCTGTCGACACTGCGGTAGCCATCCCGAAAATTATCGTATTCCTGAAATGCATCAATCTCATGACACTTGTCAGCTTCGTGGAGATTATCCATTTCATGATATGAATCAATGTACAGCTTGTCATGACGCGAAGAGTCCTTCTCAAGTGCATATTCTTCTTCATGGCTTCTTCTGGTTTGAGGCAACAGACCACCTGCAGGTGGCAAAGGGGGGTAGTTCTCCCTCTCCGGTATGTCACGGTGGAAAGCATTTCTTGAATAGATATTATCCCTGGAGAATCTTTCACCTATAAACCTCCTATCATCGTATGAACCACCAACCCTGCAAAACAACATAAAGACAAGGCCAAAGAGGAGAATAATGACGATACAACAAATTGGGGAGAATATAGGAAATGAAAAATTAAGATGTAAAAGAACACTTGTAGCATGATATGAACAAAATAGGACATATTTTATAGATCAATTAAATTTAGAAAACCATTTGCATGGTCATGCAACTATAACCAATACAATTCACAAGAAAACATGTAAAATATCACAATAAACAATTTACTTCCCCGAAGCAACTAAATTACCCTCAAGGTTATAAATTTTGGTCGACACTCACCGGATGTTTGGCTCATGGCCTGCTCCATACCCCTCCAAAGCCTGTGGATTCAAGAGAATAAGCTACGTCAGCAACTAATAATCATGTTATGAGGTAGGCAAATCCATTCCATATCCTCGCTGCCCCATACATTTTTCTCATTGTTCTTTATGGATGAGATTCCGGAAAAAATGGACAATCACATGGACCCTAATTTCTTGTTTACCATCCCATATAGGTGATTAAAAAGTAAACCACAATTACACTGTTATTTTCCCATTCTTGCTGAAGACCATAGCGACCAGTATCCATTTCTGCAATACCCGTCGGTATTAATCCTGCAATGTTCTTGATGATTGTTTCTGAAGCAGAATGTCTGAAAAACTTTCCTGTAAGGGATGCACAAACAGATATAGTTATGGCATCTAGCACCGAAAACCAATCCTTATGACTTGCCTGCCCTTTTACTGGGATCCTCAAAAACCAAATTCTTTCCAAATAAATCCATCTTCAAACTCTCTTAACATTAAAAAACTAAAACCTTGATAGAAGAAACCATCAATTAGAAGGTCAAGAAATATTTTCTGCAGGATAAAGAGAGGTCAAACAACGATTAATCAAACTGATTGACAACCAGGAATTAATTAAAAGTGAGTGCATACACCGAGAATCACGACCTGTGCAAGAGTAGTATTACTGTAACGTGTGGCTATAGTGATGCTACAATATAAAATACTTTAGGCACATCCACATTTAACTCGCTTATAAGTTGATTCAGTTAACAAAACAGTATGACAATGGAAGGCGATATTCGCACACCCTTTCTCTACGATTGCACACCACTTGTCCTTTTCTTTCAAAACAAATGACAAAAAGTTCACTAAACTCATTAATGCGTCATCCCTTATTTTATAATACAGTAACTACCATTTAACTTTTTTACCTTTTTACTTCCTTTACTTCTTCTTTTTTTGTTGGTCCTGTCAAGAGAGATGATTTTTTTTTGGTTCCTTTTTTGTTTTTTGGTCCTGTCAAAAGAGATAATTTATTCGACAGATATAAATCCTTTTTGGGGCAGTTTTTTTTAGTCCTGTCAAATGAGACCGAAAACATTAAACATTGGAGATAGAGAGGGGATATCTTTTTTTTTTGATAAGTGATAGAGAGGGGATATCTGAAAGGGTAGTTGTGTCATTTCTTTTAAGATTAAGATGGGAGTGCAAATATCGCCTCCCAAATTAATAAGAATCAAGCAACAGATTATGGTGTCAAATGGTTCTTTATAAGAATATGTGTATCACAAGCACCAAAAGGGTTTTAAAAGAATTAATTAATCACAATTTCTGAAGCTGAAATCTGTTTTTTGAGATACAAATAGTCATAGAATCAGCAAGATTTTATATACGTAATATCTACAGTGTAATTATAACTAATCATGTGCCACATTAACCCATGCAATGTGTAATGCTGATCAAGGAACAAACAATGAAGATTCATAGATGATGCACTAGCAGCAGAAAAATGTAGCTGCTAATCTGCTACAAGGACAAAATAGAGAAAATCACAGCATACCAGCACCAATGGTGCACACACTGGCAGTTCCAAGATACACCATCTGACCAATTGAGCACTCTAGTAGTCTAGTTTCAATTAGTATTCTCTTCTTCGTTTTTTAAGTAAATGTATATTAGAAGGATGCAAGAATCCATGTACATCAAACATATACAAAGTTATACAGAACTCTCTCTCCAGACTAAATCTTGAGAGAGAGATATAGAGAGAGGGAATGAGGAGAAGAGCAAAGGCCGAAAGAAGTCAATCCAAATTCTTTAGAAAAAATTACATTAAAGCAAGAAAAGAAACATGGGTCAATACAAGCAAATAATATGGCAGATACTCTAATCCTTCAAAAATGTGACAAAGAGACACCACGAGCTGCTTGCCGAACTCTCTTGTTATTCATCCCACTTATCACAACTCACAGTACTGTAATCACCCAAACAATAAAAGAGGTAAAGAACTTTTCATCAAACTTCCACATACAACATTTATTAGGGATCAACCACTCCCCACTAGCCAAGTGATATACATTAAGTGTTAAATTAGATAATCCATGTACAATTTTTTTTTTTTTTTAATATAATTGTTAAATTAAATTATCCACATACAAGGAAAGACACATTGGAGGAATCACAGGAGCACCAAGCCTTCAAATGGAGCAACACAACCCTCAATAGCTCTTGGTTAATCATAAATAGAACTCGCCTATAGAACTAAAATAATATTAATTTATCCATCACATTCTCCTTCCAATCAACTAATCTTCAACCTCCCTAATAATGACACAGTTTTTCAAACAGAGACAACAATTTGAATTGTCCATCTCAGAGACTTCAATAAACACTGAGTTCAGAAGCATTGCATGCTCCCCCTACACCACAACGTCAATCAGCCAGGCCTCCTAATTCATTGAAATGAAATATAAATCCAACAACGGAAGAGCCCATCCTTTAAAGCTGAATTCTCGAACCAAAAAACCTGATGCCACAAAAGGATGACAAATGTGTGGTAATACAATTGAAAAACTCAAAGAATAATTCCAAGGTGTGCTTCCAGGCTCCTCGCATTCTGGGCTGATTTGACTTTAGCAAGGCACACTCCATTGTCGCAACCACCCATAATCAAACAGATTCCAGTTTATATCCCATTCCTTTAGAAATATTAAAAAAAAGGTATTTTGTTTCCATTAAAACATAAACAAAACCTAATGTCTGTGGAGCTGTACGGGAGTCCAAAACTGAGATTCAAAACACGTTTCTCCTAGAGTTGAGTTGGACAAGAGAGGCTTTTTCTGTTTTATTATGCAATAAAATATGGACAAAATTTATTCACAGTGACATGAACTTCATTGTATCCTTTAACAATAATCCAAATTACCCAAAAATAACAACAAAAAAAAAAATTAATAAAAAATAAAACATATAGACGAATCCATAATCTGATACTACATTGATCACATACCAAAAGTTACAACTTCATAAAGCATAAATAATCGTTAATTGGAAAAAAAAAATAAAAATAAAAAATAAAAGAAAAAAATAAAACTATATAAATTCAACAAGCAGTTGATTAACAAAATATAATGAAACTCGTGGTTTTGATATCTTACACTGAAATGATTCAACCGTGTCCTGATGCAGATATCAATCCACCGGAATTCGAATGTCTTGACAATCGAAATGCGAAAGAGAATTCTCGAATCAAGGAAAGCTAAGTTTTTAGAGAGAGAAGGATAAAAAGAAAAGGTATAATTGATAAATATGATGACAGATGCAGACTAAACCCTAAAAGCTCGGATGAGTGCGTATATAATTTATGAACTTCAGGAAATTAATGTTGCGTGACGGTATGACACAGAAACCTTGCAAAAGGTTGTATGAACGAATTACAGTATATATATATATATATATAAATCCTGGTATTAACGAATTAACAAAGGGTAGTCTTTGTCAGTTTCTCAGTTAATTATGAGCGTATTATTTATGGTAAAATATAAAATTAGCTACCGATAATTTTAAGAGTTAAATTTTAGTTGCTAAACTTTTTAAGTGGTATAATAAAGTTTGAGGTTATTTTAATTTTTTTTCTTTTGAATTTTAATGTGAAATAATTGTCGTTTCAAATTTTACTAACACGTGAATATCACGATTTTAAGTATTCATATTGAAGGTTAATTTGTTAAAAATAAAAAAAATATCAAAGTAACCTCAATTTTTATTACCATTTCATGACTGAAGTTGTTGGTTGATAACCCAATTAAACATTTAATTCTGAATTAATTAAATATTTATCATATTAAATGTTTTGTATAAGTAACACATTTAGAGTAACTTGAAAAAACAGAAGCCAAATAAAACGAGGTAATTTTCTAAGGGACAATAAATTCACTATGTTAGACACTAAAACTCAAAAACGGAATATAAAAAACATCATCAAATTCAGCACTTAAATTTTGATTTTTAAAATTTTCAATTTATCAGTCAACACTCTTTGTTTGGCAACCATTTTCTTTTTATGTTTTTTTTTTTTTTTTTTTTACAAAAACAAAAACAACATTTATATTGTGAAATATATTTAAAGATTGTTTGATAACGTTATGTTTGTTTCAAGATTTTTAAAAGCAAAAAGAAAAAAATATGTTTAGTAAAAAAATGTTTGCAAATTTAAAAAATAAACTGGTTAGTTAAAAAAGCAATTTAACATTGTTTATTTATTTGTTTGGGCATTGTCCATAATTATAATGTTTTGCTACACTGTGAAAGTAATTTGAAATTCGATTTTAACTTATTTTTTTAAAACATTTCATAGTAAACGATGCCAACTCGCAAGGTTAAACTTAGAGGTTTGCATGTGGATGATAGGAGGTTTGGCAAAAGAGATATAATTTATTATGTATTATATCTGGGAGCATTAAATTGACACATTAAAATTAGAATTGAAATATATACACACACACATATATATAATTTTAATAGTTTCGTATCCACACATTGAAATTCAAATAAAAAATAAAAAAAATTTCACAAAACACTAAATTGACACATTCAAATTAAAATGGATCAGAGTCTTGTGCCTCAGATATCTCATCCACCTCTTAAAATGTATGACAATAGTTTGAATGTGTTCCGTGTCTTAAAATGTACGATAGCATCTTCAATGCTAAATGTAATTTTTGCTTACAAAATTTATATTTTGAGAGGAATTACAGTATCAGAGCAACTCCAATGTTCTCTCAGTTGAGCTCTCAAACTCAAAATATGAGGGGTGAGTAAAAAATGAGCTCTCATTTGGGCTCTCAAATTTCCTTTCACATATAGCAGTTGTCAAATTTTTTGGCAAACCTCTTATTTCTCATACGACGCCGTCCCTCAATCATATTCATCTCTCTCCCTTTCATTGCAGTCCGAGAAAATCTCTGAACCAGATAAAGCAAATCAGACTTCCACTCCCAAGTCAGATGAACCGACTCCAAAGCCTACCCATCTCATCTTAGCTTCCCCTTGCTCGCCAGCAGCCGTTCCGAAGCTCTCTGCCATCACACCATCGAAATTCCAACAAAAATATATAATCTCAATCCAAAAGTTGTTCCTCCACACACACACACACATATATAATTTCAATCCAAAGTGGTTCCAACAATTCAAAAACCCATCCAACACATTACACATATACAAATTTTAAATTAAAAATCCACAAACTTTCATACATTCAACTATTTAAGAAAAGAAAAAAGGGTAAAATACATCTACACCCCCTGAAGTTTGTAAAAATGACACCAGAGAAAATTTACCTATTTTTTTTTTACAAAGACACCCCCTGAAGGTTCAAGAATAAACAAATACACCTTTTTATATGAGAAATTGACCAAATTACCATTTGACCGTTTAATAGACTTTTTTAACTTTACAATTTAATAAATTGAATCAATATACTCATGAACAATTTATGCATAAAAAAAATAAAAATAAAAAAAAAAACTTTATACTGTTCACCTTTTTTTTTCAATATATATTTTTTTTTACTTTATAAATGTCCCAACTTCTTAAAACTGCAGACGTCTAAAATGATTTTTTGATCCAATACGTATATTTCAAATAAATAATATTTTGTTTTTACTTCTTTTCTTTTTATTTTTTATTTTAAAATTAAGATGCTTAATTCTTTCATCTAAAAAAATTAATCTAATCTCTTTTCCTTAAAAATAAAAAAATATGGTACCAGTATAACTTTATGCATCTTAAATTATATATAAAATATTATGCATTTCCCAACATAAAAGTGGGAAAAAATAATAATAAAACAAAGGGAAAAAAAAAACAAAAAAACAAAGGCATGCATAAAGTTAAGATGCATAAAGTTATACTGGTACCTATTTTCTTTTATGTTGGGAAATGCATAATATTTGATATATAATTTAAGATGCATAAAGTTATATTGGTACCATATTTTTTATTTTTAAGGAAAAAATATTGGTTTAATTCTTTTAGATGAAAGAATTAAGCATCTTAATTTTTAAATAAAAAAGAAAAAGAAAAGAAGTAATAACAAAATATAATTTATTTGAAATATATATATTGGATCAAAAAATCATTTTAGACGTTTACATTTTTAAAAAGTTGGGACATTTATAAAGTAATAATCAACAAAAAAAAAAAAAAATGAAAAAGTGAACAATATAAAGTTTTTTTTTTTATGTATAAATTGTTCATGATGGTAGATTGGTCCAATTTATTAAATTCTAAAGTTAAAAAAGTCTCATAAATGGTCAAAGGGTAATTTGGTCAATTTCTCATATAAAGTGGTGTCTTTGTCTATTTTTAAACTTTTAAGGGGTTTCTTTATCTAAAAAACAGGTATGTTTCATTTTAGTGTCATTTTATCAAACTTTAGGGGGTGTGACTGTACTTTATCTAAGAAAAAATATGGTCATGTTGCTGTTAGATCCGGACAGAGATAGAGATAGAGACAGAAAAAGAGATACAAAAAGCTGTAGCCCCTAACTGGACCACAAAGGGAGGTGGCGTTGATGGTGAGTTAGGGAAGAGATCAGATTAGGACGGTGATACAGAGGTAGATCCATGAGATGGAGATCATGAAGAAAATGGGGATTTGAACTTCTCTCTAGATCAGCCGAAAATTGACAGATGTGGACCTTTTGTGGTGTTTTGATAGGATTTGTTATATAAATGACAAGTTTATTCATTTATTTTTATATAATTTACAAGTTTAATTAAATTTTTTAAATTTATTTTTAATAAGATAAATAAAGAAAATAAAAAATATATATATATATTTTGCACTCTGCCAATTGAAACTTATCGTGGAAATGTCGAGACCTTCCCGCTTTCATTATTCCAGAGTGAAAAATTAAAAATGGTTGTCTGGCTAGTCTTGCTTTTTCATCACTTCTCTTCCATAAACAATAGAAGCAGCTCACGAACAAATCAATGTCTTCTTTTCTCAAAGAGCGTCCGAAATCAGGTTCCAAAAACCCTAAAACCAAACGCAATCGAAACCCTAACTCTCATTCTTCAACGTCCTCACACAGTTTCCTAATGGAACCATCTCCGAATTTGTTCCCATCGAAGGGCGAGTTCTTGAGACTCGTTGCAGTTATCGCCATTGCTGCTTCGGTTGCGATGGCCTGCAACTTTGTAGTCACTGTACTCAATCGCCAGCCAAAACCCTTTTGCGATAGCGGTGTAGATTTTGATGAATCGCACTCTGGTGAGTTAATTTGTTTCTCTTGAATGAGAATTGTGATTTTTTTTTTTTTTTCCTTCTTGAAATTAATTGTTATTGAAACATTAATTGTGCATATTTTATGATAATTATGTGAAAGATGACCACTAGCTGCATCAGTTGGAAAGAGTGACATCGTTGGTATTCAGGTAAATCCTAGGAGAAAGGGCGTGAATAGAGTTAATAAGTACCACACTACATGTGGTTGATTGGGGCTATGACCTTGAATAGAGAGCAGAATGAAAAATTAGTATTCCTGTAGCCAATCCCAAGTAGTTGGGAAAAGGTTTTGTTTGTTGTTGTGTATCATATGGTATTGCGGCAACAATTATATTACAGAGAACTAATCCCGTAACCTCGCTTGATAGTTGATCAATGCATTGATGGTCGAAACAAATGGCTAAAATATGAACTTTTTACACTTGACATTAGGATGAGAAACTGTGAGATATTCAGAGTAAATTGTAATTTGAATGTATATCAAGGAAGGGTACCATTTTGTTTATTGTTGTGAGAATCTTTTGCATTATGCATTTTTACTCTTTCCTAAATTTATTCAAATCCTCGTATAGGTACCAGAGGCTGTTATAAACCATCAATGTATTTATGTATTTCTAAATGTGTTAGAGATGTCCTTGTAATATGGGATCACTGTGAACAGCTTGCTATCTGACTAGCGTGCTCGATTAAGCAGAGCAAAGTCACCGTAATGGGGGAAAATTTACCAACAAGAAATGGGAAGAATGAGAATTTGAGTGAGGAATACAAGTTAGATGGAAATTTGAGATACTAATTAATTTGCAGGAATATTACCTACTTTGTTCTCTTCTTCTGAATTATCACATATCATGTCTTTTCTAGATCAATTTGTCTCTATGGTGTTGTGGTTAGTGCATTTTGTATCAGGCACACTTGAATGCAATATTATTACTGACCCAGTCACCAGAAATAAAAGGGAAAAAGGAGATGAATGAATGTCTCATGATGCCTCTGCAATACTTTTTTTTTTGTTTGAAACTCTTAGTATTGATTGATACTGAAATCAGTAAAACAGTTAATCTCCTTGTTTAATCCTCACAATCAATGGTAAATTTAGTAGAGTGATGCTCACTATGTGTATAGAAGTACCCTTTTAACCAATATCAATCATTACAGATTCCTGCGAGCCTTGTCCAAGTAATGGGGAATGTTATGAAGGCCAGTTGGAATGTGCCCGTGGCTATAGAAAGCTTGGGAAGTTATGTGTGGAAGATGGAGATATTAATGAAGCAGCTAGAAAACTTGTGTGTAACAACAGTTACTTATTCTGGTATTCTGCTCTTTTACGATGGAGAAATGATTATTCACCTATCTATCTTATCTGATTTTCTAATATGCAATTATTCTGCTGTAACTGCAGTCAAGATTGGTGGAAATACGTGTCTGCGAAGCATATGCTCAGTATTTGTGCTATGGAACCGGGACTGTTTGGGTCTGTCTGCTTTGCAACCCTAGGAACTTTATAATTTTTTTCAATGTGTATGCTGGTGAATGTAATAGTGCTCAAGTTTAACTGTTATTAAATCTTTAGTTTAATTATATATTTACGTTTCAGGCTCAGGAAGATGAATTATGGAATCATTTTGATGATGTCAAGTTGATGGAGAATAATGGCTTGGATGATGCCATATATATGCATGCAAAGAAAAGAGCGTTGGCAACCGTTGATACATTATTGGAGACAAGGACAAATATTAATGGGTATGCTATTGTTTTTCTTAAGCCATGTAAATATACAATGTCTACAAGTTGTGGGTGCCTTGTTGGAAGTCCTCAGCATTTTAATCTGCATTTCATTTTGTCCAACATAGGGTCAAAGAAGTGAAGTGTCCAGAGTTGCTAGCTGAACGTTATAAACCAGTTACCTGTCACATCCGAGAGTGGATTGCCAATTATACTTTAGTTTTATTGCCAGCTTTTGCAGTGGTATACCCTTATATATAAGTTATAAAAGAAATCCTTCCAGAGCCTATGTTTTTGGTATCCATTTATCAATATATTAAAGCTTGTTGACATCATTGAGATTTGCAGCTTGCTGGATGCACATTGTTCCTGTTAAAAGTTCGCCAGAGACGGCGTCTGTCAGCTAGAGCTGAACAGCTTTACAACAAGGTATACGAAGCTTCTGTCATTGTACAATCATGAGGAAAATTCTTGATGTCTGGTTTTGTAATCGACTGTAGATTTTGGCCCTGTAGAAGCCACTGCCCTTTAGATTTACGATGTAAAGGTCACGACCTGCTCATTTGATGACATCTTGGTTCAGACCACTTGTCAGTATCATTGATTCTTTTTTAACCTTGAGTGAAAAAGACCGTATTTAGTTGGATTAATTATGTGATCCAATTCAAACATCATACCTTATTTCTATCATAATCATGTTGATGAGAACATGTGAGACAAATGTGTTGAATTCTTGTGGTTATGAATGAAATTGCAGTTATTGAACTGGTATAAATGTGATAGGTATGTGACATACTTGAAGAGAATGCATTAATTTCAAAGAGTGGAAATGGTGAGGGAGAACCTTGGGTAGTTGCCTCATGGTTACGAGATCATCTTCTTTCACCCAAAGAAAGGAAGAACACATTGCTATGGAAAAAGGTATTTTTTTCACATTTCCTGAATTCTCGTGGTCTTTCAAGTTAAGATAAACTGGTGTTTACTTGTGATTTCAGCGAGTTATTCCTGATTTTTGGGGAAAACAAAGTTGTGTGTATCCAAATAATACTTTTTTAGGTGTATTCAATATAATATATAACTATAATGTTTTCATTGGATGAAAAAGCTCAGTTCTAATATATTAAACTGCCCAACTATGTTGGAATCAAAGATTCAATACTGAAGTTTTTTCGTTTTGAATAGTTAGAAGTATAGTCCTTTTATTTAAACAATCATTCCTTACAGATTTGGGCCTGTTTTAACTCAGGAACCACCCAAATTGTTGCTTCCATTCACTTCGAGAGAATCAGCTAGACCTGTCTTGTGCTGGTGCGGATAGAACTCATATCCCCTTACTTAGTCCTTTGTCTGTGCCCATAACTCTTCTAAAAAATTGACTTCTTATGCTCTCCATGCTTTGATGTGAATATTTCACTAGAAATCTTCAAGAGATTTGTAATAAAATTAGGACCCCATCACATTAGAGGAAATAGATACTTCTTTCTCAACATTCTCATTCTTATGGTTTGTAATGTCGCTTCACTTTCTTTCTAGATGTGAGATTGTGAGTTTAAATACTTTGATGTATACTTTTGTCATTGTGCTGACTAAGAATGATATAACTCCAGTAGGAACACTTGGATCATGCGGATATGGGATACATTTTTTGTGGTTTACATCTATTGGAAAGAAACAAAGTTCAGTGAAATCTTGATAATTTTAAACCAAGTAGTTGAGTTCTAAACACTGAAAATATCTTTCACTGTTTTTCCTAGCTAAGCAAAATGGTATTGTTTTATAGCTTATGAACATAAACTAATTTATTTTAATATCATATTTTGAGGATTATTTATTTATTTATTATTTTTATTTTTATTTTTATTTTTTTTCTAGGTTGAGGAGTTTATTCAGCAAGATTCTCGCTTAGATCAGTACCCAAAGTTGGTGAAGGGTGAATCTAAAGTGGTGTGGGAATGGCAAGGTATGAAAGGCGTATAATGGTGTTTTTTTTTAATTTATTTTTATGCAGGCATTCCTAAACAGTAAATTCTCTTTCTTTCTTGTGATATGCATCACAAGTTAAAATATCATGTTTACTTTCTGTTGAGGGTGAAATCCACGTGGTCTGATACGACACCGTTTTCCTGCAAAGAAGAGAGTAGAATCTTGACGGCACCGGTGTGGTGCCTGCCAAGAGCTCTCCAACGATCAATTTAGTCACTGGAGGTCTAAAAGAAAGGCAGTGATTTAATAATAGTGTTTTTTGTTGTACCTTTATTGACTGGTAGGATCTCATTCTTATAGCTGCTCTCCCTCAGTTCATTTGCGAGATCAGAGGAGATCTATTTGTGCGAGATTAGAGGAGATCCGTTTGTTGCTAGATTTGCCGGGGATATGATTTAACCCTTTGACTTTCTCAAATCGTGCCAAGGTTATCTTATCCTGTTGAACCACATCATCTTATCTTTTCCTTGATAATGAAATATTATCATTCTTTTCCAATGAAAATATCATTGTTCGAAAGTAGAAGTGATCTGGCTGTTAGTCAACACTTAGTTGCCTCTATCGTTAGGTCAAGGTAGGTTAGGTTTATTTTTCCCTATCAGTTGCCCCCCATTCCCAAGCTTGCTCGTCTAGCTTTGGGAATGCAAATATATATATATATTTTTTGCCCTCGGCACTGTTCCCTCGGACATAGTGCCCGCGGGGGGTACTGTTCACTCGAACAGTAACTTTTTTTTTTTTGGGGTGCCCCCGGCACTGTTCCCTCTGGAAGCGGGTACTGTTCACTAGAATAGTAACCTTTTTTTTTTTTGGGTACCCTTGGGTAATGTTCCCTCGAGTAACTTTTTTTTTTTTTTTTGGTACCCTTGGGTAATATTCCCAATGGTTAAACAGATATCAAATCAAAGTTCTGTTTTGGAAGGGCAAGGATTCAAACCCGTGGTTAATGACTCTTAGTGATGTAAAATTGGATTTTTCTTTTGAAAATCCAATATACTAGTTGTAAATTTTATGGGTTTCAGTCAGCCCATCCCTTTGGCAAGGGAATAAATTTTACGAGCTTCACTCAGCTTGTCGTCCCTTTAATAAGGAATTAGTTTTTACGAGCTTCACTCAGCTCGTCCCTTTAGTACATGATATATATTTATTATCCCTTATAGTATGGGGATATTGATTACGGGATTCATTAAGCCCGCATCCTTTTTGTACAGGACATTTATTTACTATCCCTTATAGTACGGGGATATTGATTACGGGATTTATTCAGCCCGGGTCCTTTTAGTACAGGACATTTATTTACTATCATTTATAGTACGGGGATATTGATTACGGGATTCATTCAGCCTGGATCCTTTTCATACAGGACATTCATTATCATCCCTTGTAATACGGGAGGTAGTCGTCTCGTCTTTCTAGTAAATGAAGGAAGCTTTAATTATCTCACCCTTCTGTGTAGAAGGAGTAGTCGGCTTCTTGTCCTTTTAATAAGGGAAGAATGTGTTGTTGGCCCTTGGTCCCTTTAATAAGATAAATAGATTATTACGAGCTTAATTTTACCACATAGGTAGGTAACTGAAAACGTAATATTTTATTGCGTAGAAATTGAGGGTCATCCATCTCATTGGTGATGGTGACTTTATTGGAGAATAAAATAACACGTGAAATGATGAACTGAGATGCCCCCAGTCTTTATTCTGAATGACTTGATAAGGCTAATTCCAGCTATGAGATAATTGTTAGTCGGTATACTTATTTGACTCCTCCTCACGATATGTCCTATCACTTTGGCTGAAGAATGATCTCTTATAGCTGGTATCCTTTTCATCCCTGGTGAGAGGGGCTGACCTCTTCTTGTCCTCTCCTTCCTTTCCCGTCCGTGCATTCATGGCGTCTTCAGCGTTCATGTGTTTCTGCACTCTGATCAACAAATCTGCCATGCTGGTGGGAGGTTCTTTAGATAAGGCGAACAAGAATCTGGAGGTTTGGAGTCCTCCTATGAAAGCGGTCAAAGCCACCTCGTCGTCCACCTCTTTTACCTGCAACATCTTTGCGTTGAATCGGGTGATGTATTCCCGGATCGACTCTCCCTTCTGTTGCTTCACGATAAGCAGGTAGGTGGCCGGCCTCCTATGCCTCTGACCTGCAATGAAGTGGCTCACAAATTACTTACTCAGTTCTTTGAAGGTGTTGATGGTTCCTGGCTTCAGCTTGTTGAATCAAAGTCTTGTTGATCCCTTAAGTGTAGTGGGAAAAGCTCGGCACATGATTTCATCTGGCACGGCATATAAATGCATAAGAGCTTGAAAAGTCTCCAGGTGATCGAGGGGATCTTTGGTCCCATCAAAGCTTTCGAACGAGGGCATCCTAAACTTGCTAGGCAGGGAGCATTTCATAACGGCGGGGCTGAATGGCAAGTTGGTCCTCTGCACTAGGTTATCTATGGCGGCAGGATCTTTCCCTTTCATAACCTGCATTATATCTTCCATTTTCGCCTTGAGATCCTTGATCTGTAGGTCGAAATAGGTAACTTTCTCTGTTTTTTCCATAACACAGAAGGTTGTGCCTATTTGAGACTGGGAATTTCGCGGAGGCGGGGAAGGAGGTTCTCTGTGTCGGTTTCCGACTTGGTTTTGTTCTGCCTCGAACTTGTGAGAAGGATTGTTTTCTTAGTCCTCCTCGTGATGTCCCCCATCATTCAGATTGGGAGGATATGGGTCGGACAATTCTTGTTGAGGTGGTGGTCCCGCTAGGATAAGATGTTGTAGGATCTCTGCATTTTGTTGGATCAACTGGTCCATACTCTGATTCAGAGTTTGGACCTGTAGTTCTAACGCTGCAAGCCGTTCTTGGTCACTCAGGATGTCTGGGTGTTCACCCGACACTTCTCTTTGATTGGATTCCTGCAACGATGTTTCTGTTCCAGTTACCTTACCGGACTGCAAGTGCATATACCCAACCGAGTAATTGATTTAAGGGAATTGTCGTTTCCCACAGACGGCGCCAATTGTTGAGGGTGAAATCCACGCGGTCCGATACGACACCGTTTTTCTGCAAAGAAGAGAGTAGAAGATCGATGAATCTTGACGACACTGGTGTGGTGCCTGCTAAGAGCTCTCCGACAATCAAGTCAGTCACCGGAGGTCTAAAAGAAAGGCAGGGATTTAATAATAGTTTTTTGTCGTACCTTTATTGACTGGTAGGATCTCATTCTTATAGCCGCTCTCCCTCAGTTCATTTGCGAGATCAGAGGAGATCCGTTTGTGCGAGATCAAAGGAGATTCGTTTGTTGCTAGATTTGCCGGGGATATGATTTAACCCTTTGACTTTCTCAAATCGTGCCAAGGTTATCTTATCCTGTTGAACCACATCATCTTATCTTTTCCTTGATAATGAAATATTATCATTCTTATCCAATGAGAATATCATCGTTCGAAAGTAGAAGAGATCTGGCGGCTGGTCAACATTTAGTTGCCTCTATCGTTAGGTCAAGGTAGGTTAGGTTTATCACTTTCCAGCATAATGAGTTGTTCCTTCATATGTATATCTAGAGTCTCTTCTGAGTTCTCATTTTTTGGAATGATATAGTGGTAAAAATCTTGCATTCTTGCACTAAATTGACCCTGATTCATGCATTTCAGTGGACCAAAAATCATTTAGGTCCTAATCCATTTAAATTTGCGGGGTATATATTTGTGTGTATTTAGTTTTTGAAGCCTTTTAACTTCTTGTTGGCATTGGAGCATACAATTAATGTGATACTGCAAACCCCATTTTCATCAAATTATCTTTATTGTTGTCTTTATTGAATTTTTTTATTTTTATTTTTACTTTTTTTTCCTTTTGGTGGTTATTGGGAGTGGGAGGAGATTCATGGGCCAAATAGATATAAGTCATTACTGACCCGTATATCCTGAATGTTGTGAAAATATTTCTGTATGTGCTAAGGTGAAAGAGCTTCAGAAATATTGTTATTAGAAGAGGAGATGCCTCTTTTGTGTATCAAAAAATTGAAGTCTAGTATGGCCTTTTAGTTTAGGCATTACTTTATTCATGGAACCATCATCCCATGGGTATTTTCTTGCTTTTAGAATACAAATGATAGATCCATGAGGTGAAGCAAAATCGTGTCTGATTGTGCTTTAATTGCTAATGATTTGAAGACAATGTCAACAGTAACCACCGCCGGGGCTGTAGCTCAGTGGTACTTCTTTGCCTTCCAAAGTAGAAGGTTGAGGGTTCAAGTCCCCGTAGGGGGCAATATGGGTGTGTGAGTTTCTTGCCAAAAAAAAGAGAAAAAAAACAAAGGCAACAGTTACCTTTTCACTTCTCAATACTGAATCTTTAGTATTGTTTTCTTGGTCAGTATCTCCCAGATGATATGATTTTCCTTTCCAAAGTCAAACTACAAGTCTACAATTAGTTGGTTTCTCAAACTCGTTAAGCTCAGAAATTTGGATGCTATTGATAGCCAATTTGGCATGTCATCCTATAATGCCTTTAGGTTATCGTAGAAGTTGATTAGACTAGAAAAGTATCAGATGCATTGACATTTGACACTAGAGCTATGGGTGGTGTTCTGGCTTTTGCGTGCTGTTAACAACCATCTACTCCAAAAGCTTAAGCTGTTAGAGAGTGTGTAACTTAAATATACAAATCCTTCAGCACGCCCACTCACGTGTGGCCTTCTTTTGGTCCAACATGTGTTTTTCAATTTTTTAATTAGGGTGATGGTAAGGTTGCACTCGAGACATTTGGCTCTGATACCACGTTAACGACCATCTACTCCAATAACTTAAGCTGTTAGAGAGGGTGTAACTTAAATATATAAATCCTTCCAACACATGCAAACTGTCGAAACTTAAGCTCCGCATTCCTTTCAATTGGGATTTCTTTTTCCCTTTGGTAGGAGCTGTCGCTTTTATTGTCTGTTGAAACTGTTTCTTTTTTTCTTACAAATGGGGTTGCTTGCTGGTGGTTTGAAATTTTGAGGGCTTAGACAAGGTGTTTGTTTGTTTTTCGTTTTTTATTATTAGTTAAGTGTGTTGAGTTCACTGGTTGCGTTTATTGCAAGAGCATGGGTATCCCTATGGAACCGATCCCTAATCTCCAGTTTTCTGGACAATACATTGCTTCTCAATGATGTTACTCACTTTAAAGTCTCAGATTAAGAATAATTAGATGCTTTTATGATGTTCTGGGGCTATCTTAGTCTCTTAATGTCTGAGTTGATTGGTTGTGAGTGTTCCTCAAATAGAAAAAGTCATTAATCTTGGGCTTTGTGTATATACTTCTATCCTTACTTATCTGGTGCATACTAAGACTTTCTTTCTCTCTCCAATGATGGCTAGTTTGTTGTTTTAGAAGGTGGTTCCTTCTTTTATACTCCTATTACTCATGCCTCCATCATCTGGTCAACATTGAGAATATACAGGGGAACCTCAAACGTCGATGATTATATCTATGTTTTGAAAGGAGATGGTGGGATGGTGGGTTGGAGGTTTTGGCCAATCTCGCCTTCTAAGTCAACTCTTTTTGGTAATAGATTTGAAGGTTTGGTGGGATTGACTGGCTGTGGAAAAGATGATTGTAGAGAATGATGGTCAGGAGATGAATGGATGCTCCCTTGAGCTTACTGTTCCTCACTACTGCAGGCGTTACATAAGTATTTTAAATGTCTGTCTACCCTCTGAACGATGCAGCCCCAAATACCCATCGCATTCCAATCTACCAAATGGTACTTTGCCCCTCTCCGACCCTTTCACTGGAAGTCCTATAATTTCTCTTATCACCACACCACTGATGCCAGGATAGTTAAAATTGATGCATGGAGAGTTTAATTATTGGGGGCAAAATTGACATAAAATTAATTCTGGAGACTGGATACAGTGCTCTCAAAGAGAGCCTGTCTGTTTTGTAGAAGTACAGTCTCTTCTTAGACTGCACCCCAATTTACTGTTCTTATCTGGATCTTGCTCAGCATTAACTGTACTAACTAAGAAAAAGCCTGTTAAATAGAGGGAAAAATACCGTGATTCGTATTTATAAGAACAAGGGAAATAGTTGGTATTTCACCAATTTTACTTCAGTGTTTATCTTGTTATAAATACTATGTAATTCTGTGACAGAATTAGTTAAGACAGGGAACTAGCATATAAGAAAAGTTATTTTGGTATACACCCGGATAATAGAGTAATAGACCATGTAAGCTATTTTCTTAGTATTGTCACTGATGGAAATATTTAAAGACAGGAAGAAAGATCTCGATGTGGTATCTATTGACTTGAAAAAGACATATTATGGCTTTCCCAGTAGTTGTGGTATAATCATTTTTGTAGTTTCAGACAGAATTGATGGGGTCGACAGCAAGTAGTGGCAATGTAAGGCTTCTTTGTTGTTGTCCAAGGACTAGTGCAAAACCATTTTGATTTCTTCTATTCTTTTTCTTCTGCTTCATTGTTGTCTTCTTCTTCTTCTTCTTCTTCTTGGTGTTGAGGAAGATTTGGACAATTGTGACCACCAAGTATGTGGTATGTTTCTCTTCAAGTACATTCTCCAAGCAAATGGAAGACTGGCACTGATTAAATCTGCCATTGCACTTTAGATGACGGTTTAGCAGAATGACATAACACTAAATTAACCAAATATGCATACCCATTTACTCTACAAGAACATTCTCTAAACAAAATGGAGGACATGTGAAGCATAGAAATGCAATTATACCGAAGTAGGGGCCTCAGCACTAACGTGGGTTAAAAAGTTTTGCATCTTTTGTTTGTAGCTATGAATTCTTCCTTTCTTTTTATTATTATTATTCTTCTTATTCACTTTTTAAACTTAAAACTATTTCTCATTTCATTTCATTTCTTTTTTCTTCTTAAAATAGTTGAAGGCGCATTGAGCTCTTTGAAGAAGAGAAAGAAGGGTGAGGAAGGCAAATTGAAATCAAGTGAAGGCATGAACTTATCTTCTAATCAACAATGTTTGGGATTGAAGGCTGGCGAGCTGTTAAACTGTTAAATTTTGTCGGACAGTCATGCTTTTATGTTGTAATTTCGTACCTTGGTATTTTCTTCATGCCTGTCCTCTTCTAGTCTGGTCGTCGAGCAACGGAATTGTGACTCATCCAGTAGGGGCTTGTGGTGAGCAGTTTCAGTAAACCAATATTCCATGTCATTGCATCCTTCCTGGATTTTGTTAGTTTTGTGCTAAAGAAAGAAGAAAAAGAAAGTGTACATTTGACATGAAGTGTTGTTAATAAGTTGAAAAAGTCCACACTCTGTTCCACGAGCCCAAGCGATGTAGTACCAAAGGGAGGATATTATAAACTTTGAGTGTATAGTTCACATTTTTAGTGTTTAAAAGTGTGATTAAGATATCTTTCTGATGTGAAATTTGGAAGTTCCTGAACAAGAATCTATAAGTTGTATGGAATCTGCTGCATAACAAGAATTTGGGGATGCACTCAGTCAGATAAACATGAAGTTGAGTGAGATGTACCTCTGTTCATGACAGCTAAATAGAGTGTGAAGGAGGCATAAATTGACATGGAAATGCATAGCAGGCTCATTTCTTATTAGATTAGTTTAATGTTGCTTTCTACATCCTCCTTGTTATATCATAATGTCAATTCATATGCATTTTGTAAAGATTCTGCATCTGAAACCCTGATAGTTCAACCTCTGTATAACACCCGATCTCAATGCTGCTGGCAACTGCAATTAAGTTCCCGCAAAATTCAGGGCATGTGAATTCACTAATTTTCTTGTTTAAGACCATCATTAGGAGCCTCCTTCACTTGTTACTTTAAGCAGGGACCTGAGGTAGAGTGAGTCACTGGTCCTGAAGCACCACGAAGCCATTGGAGTTTTCGTCACTGGTACTGAAGCACTAAAAGTTCCTTGGAGTTTTTTGTCACTTTACTTTTTCTCCATATACAGCCTTTTTTGAGAATCACTCTTTCACTATGTTGCCTTGTTTATGTAAAAGCTGGTGGAGGTTCAGATATTCAGTCATTTGAGATTCATCCTTGGATGGATGGTTTAGAATCCAACTTGTGCTGCTCTTTTACATTAGTTGTGTTTAGAATCCAACTTGTGCTGCTCTTTTACATTAGTTGTGCACCCAATGTAATGTAAAGGACAAACTTAGTGCACGAGATTTTTGTCATTGAGAATTTAAGGAGGATCAAATGTCCGTGGCGTAACCTGGGTTACGCCAATTACCGGTTATTTTTTTTTATATATTTTTTATTAGGAGTCATTTGGGTGTTTACATTTAATAGTGTGTTTCTTAAGGTTATGTCATTGACAATCAAATAATCAATAGTGTGTTTCTTAAGGTTACGTTACTGAAAGTCATTTGGTTGTTTCCAGTGTGATTTAAACACAATAACTTCTTTCTCAAGCAACTGTCTTTCATTAAGGCCTTCACCATCTCTTCACATGCATGGTCAAATCCCATGTTAACGTGGCATCATATTATTAAATGATTTGAACTTAGAAAGATTAATTAAGGGCATTCATGTAGAATTCATTATCAGGGTCGTTTGAGTGTCACAACAGTGGTCCATGGTAATTATAATTCCTGGTGTCAATTATTATTAGGATTTAAAATCAAGCCAGTTGGTTTGGCTTCAACTTGGACTCTTCTTATTAATAAGTTTAGAAATCTGAGTGTGGGCTTGGAATTGACATTTTGAAAACATTTTTCTTAATTTCTTTATCTTTAAATAAAAATGATATTTTTGAAAAAACAAAATAAAACCTCATAAATTTTGTCCACCAAAGTCCAACTAACCATTATTCAAGTTTGACTCTTTTGAAAAATAGTTTGAGACTTGAGCTCAACTCCTTCATTTAATGAACAAAATTGTTTTAAATTTGTGTTATTCATGAACAACTCAAAAATAAATTGTACATTTTAATGTACCATTTTTTTTTACTAGAGAGAACTGAATTTGACATTTGGGTCTTGACCTTACAATTCACAAGTAAATTTAATATATTTTTGAAAATACCAAATTTACAGTTTAAATTTAAAGTCGAATGAAATTTAGTTAGTAAAACTTTGAATTGAATTTTTTTCAATTTTAAATTTAAACTATTGATTAATACTCCCAAACTCAATATAAATAAATTATTCATAAATCATATTAAATCGGATCAATATCATGAATTGTCTCGTAGCTATCAAATAAATTCATTGTCTAGTATTTATCCATATCCAATCCAAAATTGGATTAGTGATAAAGCTTATGGTGAGACCAAACCCATCTGATAACTGCCCAATGGAATTTCAAGGTCACATGGAGGTGGGACCCTTCCAGAAATTTCCCCCATGCACATTCCTTTTCGGTAATGATGTACAGCTGCTCCAAACACACGTAATTTGTCAGATCTGTAGGTCCATAATGACCCATAAAGTCTCGGGTCAAGACTGGGTACTCCGGAGTACTTGATGGGCCATCGGCCCATGATTATTTGAATCTCCATTTCTGGGCCCACTAGCGTCGGCAAGTTGGCAACCAGTATGAGCATGTGGCACGGGGATGAGCATTGACTACATGTGTGATCCAACTACCAACAATCTGTGATAACAAGTTAGTGCCATAGTATTGTTTCATAGCTATTGTATGGACACTTCAGCTGGAAATGTCTTGTGTATGCAAAAACTAGTGTCACACACACATATACACACGTGTGTATTTTTGGGGAATATTTGGCAAAAATGTTAAAAAAAGTTTACGTTAATTACAAAAATAACGATGATGTGATTCAGAAAATTAAGAATTCATTCTTTCTTCTGACTTTAAAAATATCGATAGATACTATTAAAAATTTAATATTCTGAATCAATCAATGAGACATTCATGAACAGTAGTTATTATTATCTTGAATCGAATTTAGTTATTTGTAATAAAGTTTTTAAAATTTTAAGGGTATTTTTTAATTTTACTTGACTTTTGAAATGAGATTTTAAAACAAACAAATATATATATATATATACATATATAGGCACAATTAATTTTGGAAGGTAGGAGTATATCTTTCAATATGGACAAAAGGAGGGCCCATATAGGAAAATAATACTAATATGAGGTGACGATTGAAAACCCATGTCACCTCGAGTGATAGGCATACATTTTGCAGATGTAATGCATTTTCGACTGAGTTTATGAAAATATCTTCAATTCAAGTGGTTTGATCATATTTTAAAAAAGAAGAAAAAGAATTATCAAACTTTAGAGTTTTATGCTAAACAAGTGAATTGTTTTGGCTTCGGAGATAATCCAATGCATACGAAAAGAAGAATGATACTTAGGTCTTTACTAATGAGGATTTATACAATCCTGTGACGTGGATCAATAATAAATTATTATCTATGTGATTTGATAAGTGTGTATTTATCCATCATAATAAATCACCAACTCTGTAATGACATGTCTATTTATTATTGGTCCACACCACTAGTGAGGATGGTGTAGATCCTTACTAGTGAGGACCTAAGTATTGTTTCGAAAAAAATATGTTATTTCTTTGTTTTGAATTTGTAATTTTTAAGTCACAACTTGAAAAAACATGTTGCATTAGATTCATCCTCTAATAATTATATATATAATTCACATATATAATTATTTATATTAGGATTTTTATATAAAAAAATTAATTATCAGGGACATTTTTTGCTCTTATTTTTTAAAATATAGAAATTTGTATGCACATTATGAGTTTTTTTTTCTATTTATTTATTATACTCCTATATATATATATATATAGCGCGAGTATACTCCATTGTTGTACTCCCGAAAGTACATCAATTTGGCCGATTTAGTGGCAAATTACTCAAAAACAATGAAAAAAACGATGAGAGAGAGTCCCCTGTGACCTGGCCTCCTCTTCCTCACACTCACCCCATCCGCCTCCCAATCTACTGTAAATTTCCTTTCCTACACCGACACTCCTATTACCCCACTCCTCTCTCTCTGTATATATCTATATATAGATATATATACACAAACTCACGCACATATATACCTCTATGTTGATAGTTTATAACAAGAAAGTATCTCTCTACATTTTGGCACACACTCACGCATGCTGCTCTCTTTCTCACACACAAACTCAGTGTTGAGGCTACTTGGTTAAAGCTTGGCCTCAGATCGCCTATTTCCACCATTCAAGAGCTCTCATTATCAGGTGATGATCAACTATTCGTCTTTCTCTCTCTATGAACTGTAATTCAGCTCAAATCGTTACCCTTTTTTTTTTAAATTAATTTGTTTTTACTGCTTTTCGCCCGATCGAATTATAATTATCGCTGTCATCGAATTCACCAATGTAAGATCTACATATACACAATATTTGTGTATATATGCGTTTGTATGTATGGTGTTATATTCATGTAGTTTAGAGCAATCATTTCATATTCGTTTTAGTCCTGAATTTTGTTGCTAATTGTAGTTTTTTATTACTTCATTTGCTTGTATGAGTTTTGAGAAGTTCAAATCGAGATTGAGAAATTTTCAGGTGAAACATTTGTTGGGAAGAGAAATCTTGGTGGGTAGAGAGTGTCGACTTTGAATTTCTCGATTTACTCTAAAAGCTTGTTTTGTAATATTGATGTGACTTTCTGTTGTGTGTTGAGGCCGTAGATCTGGTCGTGGGTTGAGAAAAAAGATTAGGAATGTGACCGTTGTACACTGAATGGGCAACTATAGTAAGAATTTTGGCAGCATATATCCTTTATAAATGCACACAAATAACTTCAAATTCATTACCTTTTCCACATATGCTTGTTTTTTTTTTCCTTTTTAATCCTCTTTCCTAATCTAACAACAAACCTTTCTTATGGCAAGCTTGATGTCTAGCTGAGAGAAACTATATTTAGAACACTGGCATAACTTTTCAGACTGGTGTCTGGTTGATTGAAATAAAAGTTGATCCAAGGCCTGTTTATTCTTGGTATGTTGATATATATTTTTTTTCCTTTAAATGATCATTATTAAGTAGCCAGTATTAAATTTTTACCCTGCAATTTTTTGATAATTAACTCAAATTGAGCCTCATAAGAGATCTTACCCTATCCTATGTTATACGAACTGCTAAAAAGGGTATGTGATCCGTTTTGATGAATTTGGTTTGACATGTACCTCAAAAGCATCTCCAATAATTCAATTTTATAATATTATTGCTTCAAAACGAGTTAAATGCTTATTTGGAACGTAGTTTTACATAGAAACATTTGTTTATTAAATATAATAAATATTTATCAGTGCCCCTGTATCATTTGCATACTTGGTACACCTGACGCTTTGACACACATGCCCAAGTCCAACATAGACTCTATAAATATCCATTTCATGCTCAATTTTGGCTTACCAACCACTGATGATGTGTGGCTTGTCATTGATTTCTAACTTTCCTGCATATTACAGTGAGCATCAGCGTGTTGTTGTAACTTGTAAGCATAAATACTCCTTTTTTTTTCTTTTTCTTTTTTTTTTTTTTTTGATAATTAACACAAATGTGAGGCATCATAAAAAATCTTACTCTATCAATATCTTCTTCATGCTCAGTTTTGCCTTGCCTGACCATTAATTATGTGTGGCATGCCATTGATTTCTAACTTTCCTGTATATTACAGTGAGCATCTGTGTGCTATTGTAAGCTTATTATGGGCTCTAAGCATAATTCATCGGGCAACAGAGCACGAAGCCCAGTGTCAATATTTGTTGTACTTGGTCTTTGCTGTTTCTTTTATTTACTTGGAGCATGGCAAAAGAGTGGTTTCGGAAAGGGAGATAGTATAGCCTTGGAACTAACTAAGCAAACAGACTGCAATGTCATTTCCACTCTGAACTTTGAACCTCAGCACAATGAAATTGCGATAGTTGAATCTTCTGAGCCAAAAGCCAAAGTGTTTAAGCCATGTGATATGAAATACACTGATTATACTCCTTGTCAAGAACAAGACCGAGCTATGACCTTCCCAAGGGAAAATATGATATACAGAGAAAGACATTGTCCTCCAGAAGAAGAGAAGTTGCATTGTCTTATCCCAGCACCCAAAGGATATACAACTCCATTTTCCTGGCCAAAAAGCCGTGACTATGTCTACTATGCTAATGTTCCTCACAAAAGCTTGACAGTTGAGAAGGCCGTCCAGAACTGGGTACAGTTTCAGGGTAACGTATTCAAATTTCCAGGTGGAGGAACAATGTTCCCTCATGGTGCAGATGCGTATATTGATGAACTTGCATCAGTGATTCCAATTGCAGATGGCTCTGTCAGAACGGCTCTGGATACTGGTTGTGGAGTATGTTATTTTTCCTTTTCGAAATTACTTCCATCATTATCCTTATTCAAGTACCATTGACTGCACATTCAACTATACTTAAGAAGTCAAAATTTTTTTTTTCAAGTTGCTTTTGTCCCTTTCTCCATTCAAGTACCATTGATTGCAAATCCAACTATAGTTTAGAATTATTTATTTATTTTTTCCAATTAACATGCGGGCATTCACTTTAACCATCTGAACTCTTTGCTTTGTTTTGGGTATTATCTCTACAAATGTGTATAGTTATGGTTTTGCATTTAGCTAAAGTTGTTGCAGGTCTCCAATTGTCCAAAATGTGCCACTTCAAAGGCCAAATGAACGTTTACAGCTGCTTAAAATGTTCCATTTTGAAGACCAAATGCATCTTAACTTATTGGGTCTAAATATCTATATATGATTTGGAAACCTTTTACAATTGTACTTAGATAATGCTTCCATTGAAGATGTCTTCTGCATAGGCTGTGCTCAAATAAGGCTGAAACTACTTCTTGACAGGTGGATAACTTCTTATAATTAGAATCAACCGTTTGCTCTTAAAATTGATCTTTAATCTTTTCTGGACCATTTAAGAATTGCAGATTAGATTTAAACATCAAATGACTATCATTAGTAGACAATTAGGTTAACTTATACATGATGATATGTGGCTGTGAGTATCTATTAAAGAAAGGCTTATAATGAGGCTTAATCTCTATACCGTATATCTGATATATGACTTTCCCTCTCTGATTCCTGTATTGGCTATCTAGTTAAAATTATTTTGTTTTATCACAACTTTTTGGCTGGAGTAATTGCAGAAATCTACTTTGTACCATTTCGTTGCATCTTTATTCTGTTGTGGTTGCTGGACTGATGAAACCAATGATGTCATAGGTTGCAAGTTGGGGTGCTTACTTGCTGAAAAGAAATGTGTTGACTATATCATTTGCACCAAAGGATAATCACGAAGCACAGGTACAGTTTGCATTGGAGCGGGGTGTGCCTGCTTATATTGGTGTTCTTGGATCAATACGTCTTCCGTTCCCATCAAGAGCATTTGATATGGCTCAATGCTCGCGGTGTCTAATACCGTGGACATCAAATGGTATGTAGAAATCAAAAACATCAAAGTCGTCAACTTGTCCACTGACTTCTGTAGATATATTTTTTAAGATTAGAAGAAATGCATTATAATGGGACAATTATAGTCACGACATCCTTTTCTCCTATTTTTATGCATAAAGCAAAGGAACTTCTTATATGACAGAGAAGACAAGATTTCTACAAGTAATTGCAAAGAAGTGCAGCAAAGCTATTTAAAAAAAAAAAAAAAAAAAAGAGAAAAGAAAAAGAAAAAAAAAAAAGAAAAGAAAAAGAGAGAAGAGAAAAGAGAAAAGAGAAAAGTTAAAATTTATTACAAAATGGTTATAGAAGAAGTGGAGAGATAGGAATTAAAGAGAGAAAATGGGGCTAACTCATTTCCCATTCTAGGTACTTCTACTTTATGCTTATTGCTTAAATATTTTACTTCTCTCCAGAACACCCTAATTTCTGAGGTGGTAGACTGGTAGTTTTTGAGGGCAAGCAGAGACATGTTATCCTCTAGATGTGCTTTTTTTTTTTTTTGAAAAAAAAAAAAATTCTCTCCTTATTAAGTGAACCAAATGGTGGAAAAAATATATATATTTTTAAAAAGATTCTCTTCTCTTCTTTATAATCGAAGACTGTTTAAGGTAGGGAAAGGGGAGGCGAATGAGAGAACTTCTAAGTCAAGGTCTTCTTCTTCCCTGGTTTTAGGTATTCTTTCGAAACTTATCTTAGAAACACAATATTAATGTTTCAAATCATTGCTTTTGCAAGTTGGGTAACATGGAACTAATTGTTGATTTATTATTATTATTATTATTATTTTTTTTTATCTTTTTGTACATGTATAATTGAAATTTGCTATTGGCCTGACGTCTCAGTAAATGCCCTTGATGCCTACACCATTACCATCTGCCTTGCTTACCTTTGGCAAATTGAAGTCAGATTTGTTTGAGTATGAATGATGTTTTTTTTTTTAAAAAAAAAAAACTTATACTATATATAGTTATTCATTAGTATCATATAGAATAGAGAAAGAATGAGGCAGCAACCGCCCTTTTTCAACCAACAAACTATTGCCATTGACAAGTCTTCTGTCCTGTCCCTCTTAAAGCTTTCCTTTAGTTTTCAATAATTGGGGGGCGCTTCTGATTTTGATGAGTCAATCCATGATTTTTATTTTATTTTATTTTATATATTATTTATCACATATATATAATATAAGATAATATAAATCAAAGTAAGAGTATGGAGGAATTGCCATAGATTCTTTGCCTTGTGCATAGATGGAAAACATGCATTTACTGTGACAATCCTTATTATTTAGTACTCAATGGATATATAGTTAACAACCGATGGTTATTTTCCTGTGAAATTAAAGTCCCGAAGGCATACAATGCTTCATATCTAGCACTGGAAGTTAGGTTAGATAACAAATTGTACAATCTAGCTTTTCATGATTCACTATATTGATTCATGAAGTATAGACAAAATCTCTGTCATTTGCAGTCTGACCTTCTTTAATTGTTATACCAGGTCAAAACAATGATGTCGCAAGATTGCATCTAGCAACTTTTATTCTTTAGTGATAAGAGTATTACTCGGCCAATGTGTATTATTTAAAGTCATAAGATATGAGGTCCAGTTATAAATTGCAACTTTCAGGTTTGTATAGTGTCATTTCCCTACTTTATTTTAAGAAAATTACGTTTTGTCATATGGTGTCAAAAAAGATAGAAACAAGTAGAAGTAAATGATAAATTTTATAGAGATTTGTATATACATAAATAGCTAATTTATAAATAAAAAGAATGAGAAAGCACTTGAAGATATTAAATAACCTTAAAATAAAATTTGACCCTGAAAAGTAATGAAGACAATATTCTAAATTTCTAGTAGTTATTTGAAAAATATAAGTTCAAAAATGGCTGTTCTAATAATTCCACGGATAATCTGTCCATTATTTCTAAATTGCACAAACAGAATCATGTATATGTGCATAAGTTCATGATATGCTTCTAACTAATAATTGGTAATGTCCTCCTGTGTGCAATACATGTTAATATCATTATCATATGATATTGATACATGATTATTATGGCTCGCAAGGAAACAAATAATTATAGTTTGTTGCAAACAACTTTTTAATGCGTTGATGAGTCATCTGCTTGTATGTCTTTCCTTTTTCTTTTTCTTTTTCCTTTTTTAATTGTAATAAATCGGCACCATCAATGATTATGATGAACAACTTACTTCTGAATTAGCTAATACCCAGTTATTAATGTTTTTAACTCTGAAAGTGACAGAATTGCATCTAAGATGTATTCAGTCTTTTTTAACATTATGAAGGTGCTTAAAGTATTGCACGAGTTTCTATAGAAGCTGTGGTTAACAGGATAAAAAACAAAAAAGAACTAGTGGGTTTTCCATTTATCTGTAATTTCTTAATTTCAGTGTTTATGATAATTTAAATCTTATTAGTCAAATATGTGTACATTATTGGAAGTTGATGACCTTTACACATGGACTTTAAAATTTCCAGAAGGGATGTACCTAATGGAAGTTGATCGAGTTCTCAGACCTGGTGGATACTGGATCTTGTCTGGCCCTCCAATTAATTGGAAGACCTACTACCAAACATGGAAACGGTCTAAGGAGGATCTCAAGGCAGAGCAAAGAAAGATTGAAGAGCTGGCTGAAAATCTTTGCTGGGAAAAGAAGTACGAGAAAGGAGATATTGCCATCTGGCAAAAAAAAGTAAATGCCAAATCCTGCCAAAGGAAGTCGGCAAATATATGTGATTCCATGGATACTGATGATGTCTGGTGAGTCATGATGCATCTTTAATTCATTAAATTACTTTATTTTGGCAGTCGCTGTGTTATTGGTCCGTCGTAAATGGTAGCAGTTGAGATGATGAAAGTTGCATCATCCATCAGTTTTCAGTTTTCACGTTAGAGCCTTCATTTTTTGATAGAAAATCTAGTGGAATGATGGATGCTGCCTTCTTACGAGCTTCATCTCTAATAATTTCTGCCAGAAGTAAATTAAACGAAACTAGGAGTACCTCACTGCATCTCGCTTAGATGGGACCAGCATTGGGTGATGGCCTTTTTTTAGGAGCCTATCTTTGTTGTTGTAAAGGATATTCCATTTAAAGGGGATTTCTGAATCTTCAATAGGGTTTCCACACTTGCGGTTTCCTTTATAAAACCACGTATGACATTCTCGTCTTTGAAGAAACATACGTTTCATTATTCATGGGGAATTCAGACACACAAGCCTTAAAATGTTTCCACAAAATTTCAGCTGGTGTATACATGGGTTGCACTCCTTCATACTCCTTAGTGGAGTTTTGCCAATATATATATATATGTGTGTGTGTGTGTGTATAAAAGGAAGAAGGAAGAAAGAGAATGCCACTTCATCTTCTGCTTCAGTACCAGCATCAGTGTATCATACTCAGTAGGCAAGCACATGATGGCTTCTGGCATCTAGAACATATGAGAAACTGAACGTCTAGTGTCACTAAAAATACCCTGAATTTTTAAATGCATTAATATTCTCTTTGAAACTATTTAGTAGGTTAATTTTTTGAATGGCATTAAAGGAATTACCAAATTGACATTTTTATTTCTCTTACTTTTAGGGGACAAGAGATATATCGGAATGATAATCATGAATAACTTAATTATCAAATTAAGGGTTATTTGAGTTTGTCCTGCATATGTTTGTTTGGACGATTTGCAGCACACCAGTTTCCACAAACAGACCACCAACCATCATTGCCAATTACATGACCCCTTCGCCACGGTCCCTAGCCCATTGTCACTTTTACTAATTACAGTCGAGGTAAATCAGAGGTTTGCCACCACCATCAACAATTCATCACCACTAAATCTCAGAATAATCACTGTAGCCACCCTTCATGGCTACCGAAAAGAAACTATTCCCCAACACTGATAAGGATGCTATACTGTTGCCATCAACAGAGTCTTATCACTAATAAAAAAAAGAAATAAAATTGTGTCTTAATTCACATCTACTAAAGTTTATGCAACTTCCACAAAATTAGGTATACAATTATTTTTGTATGTCAAATAAATAATGGGTCAAGTGCAACAAGGTAACCTGTTCCTAATTCACGTCAGTTTACATTTACTATAATGAGTTAAGGCTCTTTCAATTCTTAATTTGTAGTTTTAACTGTTTCTGTGGTTTCTATCATAATCTTTCTTGTTTTGGTGAATCATAGGTACAAGAAAATGGACACATGCATCACCCCCTTCCCAGAGGTTGCCTCTGCTAGTGAAGTAGCAGGAGGGGATTTACAAAAATTCCCAGCTAGATTGTTTGCAATTCCTCCCCGAATAGCTAAGGGGTTTGTTTCGGGAGTCACAGTCGAATCTTATCAAGAGGATAATAAACTGTGGAAAAAACATGTAACCACTTACAAAAGGATCAATAAATTGATTGGCACTACAAGATATCGTAACATAATGGATATGGATGCAGGCCTCGGAAGTTTTGCAGCAGCACTCGAATCACCAAAATTATGGGTGATGAATGTTGTGCCTACTATTGCTACGGACACTTTAGGTGTAATTTATGAGAGAGGTCTTATTGGCATATATCATGACTGGTACGTTCACTTAAATCTTCTCTTTGTTGTCCATATCAAAGAACTCTATTATATTCTACCTTTTGATCTTACACATTATTTGACAAGTCATTCAGATATGTTTCAGAACTTGTACCGTCAAATATAAAAATAAGAAATAAAGAAAGAAAGAAAGAAAACAGAAGTAATGTTGAGATATTGTAGCATGAGATAATGTTAGTGACACAATTTATGATGGTCGAGCTTTAAGCAGGCTGGTTTTCTTGTTCATGTATTTGCCTTTTTGGTACTATCTGGGAGGAGTTCCACAATAACAAATTCCTGCATAAGTCTTTAACCATTGGATGGTGTAATAAATATTGACGTTGACTTATATTGAATTTGATGGTTGTGGATAGGCTCTCCCTTATTGAAAAATTTGGTGATCAAGGCAAGGGCTCTTCTAGATTCCTTAAGATCATTGGACCAGAAACAACTCTGAAGTTGGTTCTAGTTATTTCCTACTTGTGTTACTATTTCTACAAGAGCGGTTAACATTATTGGAATCTTTACATTTCCCATATATTTCTTATTTTGGAATCCCAATGAAATTGTATTTCCTGTCTTCTTTCAGGTGTGAAGGTTTTTCTACATATCCAAGGACATATGACCTCATTCATGCCAGTGGTGTATTTAGCTTGTACGAAAACAAGTAAGTCTCTTCTTGCTCCGGTTAAAGCCAATTTGAAGCCATAAAATATGGTTTGTGTTTTATTACTATGTTAATGGCTCCACTACTGCCGTCTGTTAGCTTGAATGGTGTCTTTTGCTACTTTTAAAGGGGAGGTGCAAGGTTTAAGTCTCAATTGGGATTGGGTGTGTATGTGGTACTTTATAATTTATATACGTATATATGAAAAGAAAGTGTAATATGGATCCACATGATAGTTGATACTAAAAGAATTAACAGTTTTAAATGTTGAAAATTCTAGAATCCCCAAATGAAATATTTTATAACCATTTTTGTTGTGTTTATTTGTTATTTGTTGGCAAATAGCAAAGCAACATGATTCTAGAAGCTTTAAGTGGCTAAGAGAAGCCAACTCTAAAAAGATTACTCTACATCCCTGCAGTGGCTTAGAATTTATTTATTAATTTTACCCTCTATGTCATCTATGCAAGCTTAAGGATACGGGTTTGAGCCTGAGAATAATCACTTTGTGCAATATAATGTCAAAATCAGGAGACGTGTTTGTCTCCTGCTTCTCCTTCTTGCACCATGCTTAAGCAGGACTGGGAGTGCCTTCTTTATAATGCATGCAAATATATATATGTTTGAGAATATATTACAAAAAATCAAAAAATAAAGAAAGTCACATTATGATTTTAGCATCCAGTTTTATTGATTAAAATCATGAAAATTGATAACCAAGCTTTAAGCTAGTAGATTTATTGAACTAAAAGATATGGAACAATTTTGATTGAGTTTTTTTATGGGCTTTCATTGATTACTAAAGTATTCCCACACGCGTTGTTCTAAAATCTTGTGTTTGTTGTATATTTGGCTGATGAAGTGTGCAAAATATAATCAATGCTGTAAGTCGCAGAGTTTCTCAACTCTCATCTTTCCATGGGGCTCTTCTTCTTTTTTCTTTTCTAAGATTTTACTTTAACTCATCCTGTTTATTTGGGGCTCTTTTCCTAAAGATTTGCACTTCTAAGGTTTCATGAGGTATTACTGTATAATAAAAACAGGTGCAAATTTGAAGACATCCTTCTAGAGATGGATCGTATTTTGCGGCCTGAAGGGTCGGTCATCTTTCGAGATGGAGTTGATGTTCTTAACAAGGTGAAGAAAATCGCTGGAGGCATGAGATGGGATATGAAATTGATGGATCATGAGGACGGTCCCTTTGTTCCCAAGAAGATTTTGGTTGCTGTGAAGCAGTATTGGGTTGGCAGCGGAGAGAACACCACCTCTAACGACGAGTAAACCATGTCATTAGATGGGAATTAACCTGAAAACAACACTACAACACACTGGAAATGAACTGCTCTGGGTGGAAGAATTCTAGGGTTTATCAGTGATGGCATCTATGAGTGGATTTTCCGAACAGTGAACACCAACCAAAAGAAGTACCTTTGGATCGTCGTTGTTGATCTGGTGCGTTTGTGAAATTTTATCCTAGGTGATGTTTTTTAATGTGATTGTGGAGGGTGGCGGAATAGAATGTGTAGCTTCCCAAATAATTAGGAAATGATTGTTACGGTCATAATAACAAATTATGAAGTTAATGGAGATACTTTTTGATTGAATACAAAGTGAAGATATTTAAATTTTTATTGCTTTGCTCTTGAAAGATTTTTTGCCGCCAGCGCCCTTGTTTCAATTGGTTTTGGTTTCAATTGAGTTGCATATTGCACCATTTGAGTTAGGTCAAGAGCTTCCCAAATGTTAGGTTCACTCTTCTTGTGTGTGTACTGTGTATGTATGTATATATATATATATATATATATATATATATATATATTGTTCCACGTGACATAGAAGAATGAATATATTAGCAATTTTGAATGTATTAACTGAATGTATTGGCAAATGTGTTGTCAATTTGGTTTATTGTTGTGTATTTGGATTTTGAAATATGAATATTTTTATAATTAGAAAAATATATGTAGAAATAGGAACTGTGAAACTGAACTGAATTGGTGTTTTACGACTTAGTTTGGTTCGATTTTTTTAATCAAATGGTTTGATTTGATTTTATACCTTCTGAAACAAACTCTCAAATCAGTCCAAATCTGCACCCTATGTGCAACAACTTTATATTATTTGCGTACTGTGATATAGTTTGTTGCACTAGAGAATATCGACACACAGATGAATGATGTCCTACCATTACATTTTATGTTTTAAACAGTACCTGTTGTCGGAACTGAGAAGGCCTCATTGCTGATTAGAAAAAGAAAACCCAAACCATACACATTTATACAATTAAGAATTAGAAACTCTAGTTTATTTTTTTATTTTTTGAATTTCACACTATTCACATTTATTTTTGTTTTTATAAAAAAATTTATAATTTGTAAGATATTGTATGTATACCAGTTGTATACGGATTTTTGTGTGTTGTGAGTGTCGACATTTTGGGTTTGAATTTCAAAATCTATGGTTCCAATTTGGGAATGTTTATTTTGGTATTCAATGAAAATATTATCAAAATCTATATTTGGTTTTTATATTTGTCAAGTATTTTAGCTGTCATTTTCAGTTCAACAAATCAATATTGGCATTGAATAATTTTTTTGTTTGCCTTTTGATTTGAAAAAAAAAAAATTCCTGATATTAGTTGGATTTTTTTTATGTCCAAAAAAATATATATATTCTAATGTTAGTTGGATTTTTTTGTTTTTCGTTAAATACACTATGCCCCCCCTAAAATTCAATCCTGACTCCGTCCTTGGTCCTCCCCCCTCAAATTCAATCTTGACTCCGTCCTTGATTCCATACCATTCGTGAAGTTTACTACATTTAGTGATGAAATCTTACAAATAAATAAATACAAATAGGTGAAAACTTAATGTGAAATTTACTATTAAAAGTCGTAACTTCACTAATCACATGAAATAACTAGAATTTCGTATGTTTGCCCAATCCTTAGATCCTCGCGCATCATGTACTGTTATTTTATTTCTGTAACAACTTTATATTATTTATGTATTATGAATTTACGATGTGGTTCATTGCACTAGAGGATATTGGGATTCCTTTCCTAATACCTCAACACAATTATTTGGGTGAGATTTCGCTTTCAAAATAAAAAAAATAAATAAATAAATAAAAAGCCATAAATGAATGATGTCCTACCAGTATATTTTATGTTCAAACAGTACCTAGTGACGGAACTGAGAAGGGCCTCATTGCTAATTAAAAAACCATACACATTTTATCAATCATAGAAATCAAAACGGTGGGCTGATTCTGTGTGCATGTCACCTACAAAAGGAGGTTTCACCAATAACTGGAGGATAATTTCATCATAACTCTGATTGACCAAAAACCCTATCTTTTGTACTTATGAAGATCATGATAATAAATTCCCGGGCCCACCCTTGGGGTTGTGATTTCTGTGTAGTGGACACACACACACACAAAACCACCTACATGATTGAGACACCACATTTACCCCCCTTACCCTACAATTGTTCCCATCAAACCCTGAATTGGGTTGCAACAAAGGACTAAACAGGACATTGATTCCTTACATTATTACATATTGCAAAATCATTGAAGGCAAATACTGAAATCAAGATTGAAATATCGTGAGATGGGATTAATAATGAAAATCAGAAATATTATACAAAAATGTGTTTACTTGACATTTTATGAGATACTCCATTTGTCTCAAAATAAATGTCCTATTTTGAAAACGTTGATTCACAATGTTCTAAAATAAGTGCTCTGTTTTGGAAACAGTGACTTACAAAACAGGACACTTAATTTGAAAAAGAGGGAGTATGTTTTTTAAAAATTTAGTTAAAATTTTTTTATTTTTAGATAAGTGTATTTTATAATTTTATAAAAATAATTTTATATTATTAGTGTCTTCAGAATTTTAAGAGAGACTATCTGATTTTTCGATTACTCTCTATGCATGTAATAGAATGGAGTACCATATATTTCTAAAATGTATGATACAAAATGAATTTTAACAGACAACCATGCTAAATTTTGGTCAAGCAAATTACTTAATGCAGTTCATCATTTTATCAAATCAGCAAAGGTCAAATGTGAAATTATATCCACTACAGAAGTTCCTTAATTGTGTGTGTTGTGTGTGTGAGAGAGAGAAATATTTTGCCAAACACAAATAATCATTCCGGTGTATGAAGAAAGCATGGTACGCCGTACGCTACCCTCATTATATATATATATATATTTGCAGTTTTGAATTGGATGGTATATATCAAAATTCAAATGCACAATATTTCCATAGCCTGAAAAGAGCATTGTTGAAATTCAAGTTAAAATCACTTTCATAGCCTAAAATTACATGTTATCTCGATTTAAATCATTTCAATCCACTAAATGATAGTTTTCTCTTACTCTAGCTATATTAATATATATACCTATTATCATTAATATAATATGACTATTTTTTTACTCAAACTCATGTTTTCAAGCTTGAAGACTCGAAATTTTATTACTCCGTAGTATATCTCCCTTTTGTGGTTCCAAATCAAAGTTCACTACTTGACATGTAGGTATGTGATTTCGAGCACGGAATTTCTACTCATATGTGCGGATGATCATGATCATTATGTGTTATATAACAGATACAATTACATTAAAGGATTCTAATTTGTGTATTTCAAACGAGTACGTACATATTTATTTTATTTTATTTTTTTTTCTTTTCTGAAAAATAAAAAGTACAAATATATAAATCACCAATTGACTATAGTGATACGACTCAACAATATTACCTTTGATGGCTCGCGCCATCTATCTGCCCTCTCGGTGATAACGGTGATAAACATCATGACAACACACACACACACACACACATATATATATATATATATGGTAGCTCCAACATGTGCATACTTGGTACTATCTATTTGGTTTGTTCCCCATCTAGCTTCTGCTGAGTCAAAGGGTCACATTGCAAATATAGTTTGTCCCTTTTATGTCTTTTTATAAGACACATTATATGATTGATGGAAAAAAAAAATCTCCCCACGTGGTCACTTGTATTCATTTGAAGAGTTAGGCGATATATCAATTAAGTTATTGATAATGTCAATTGATCAATTTTAATTATAATTGATAGAAAAAAATAAAACTAATATATTTTGACCTAACAATAGAGATAACTAAGTATTGATCAGCCACCAAATCTTTTTTACTTTCGAGAGATAATATTTCGTTATCAAGGATAACAATTTCTATTGGATAAATTCTATAGAATAATGACAAATCTTATCAAAAATAAAATTTGCATGGGATAAGTTCCATTAGATAAGGATTATGATATTCCCTTATCAAGAATAAGGGGAGTGACGATAAATAGAAAGACGACTCAGGAATAAGGTATGACGAAAAAATTATTATTAAATCTCTGCCTTCTTTTTAGACCTCTGGTGACTAACTGGATTGTCGGAGAGCTCTTGGCAGGCACCACATCGATACCATCAAGGTTCATCGATCTTTTCCTCTCTTCCTTACAGGAAAATGGTGTCGTATCGGACCGCGTGGATTTCACCCTCAACAGTTGGCGCTGTCTGTGGGAAACTACGATTTCCTTATATATTGTTCAGTTAGGTATATGCGTTTGTGGTCCAGTATGATTACCAAAGGAATATCGTTGCAGGGATCTGGTTAAGGGGAAGAGTCGGGTGAGAACTTAGACGTCCCAAACGACCAGGAACGGCTTGCAGTGTTGGAACTACAGGTCCAAACTCTGAGTCAGGGTATGGACTAGTTGATCCAGCAAAATGCAATGCTCCTATAACATCTTGTTCCACCGGTTCAACATAGCTTGCCACGACAAGATCTCTCAAATCCAAACGGAGGTAATGAGAATCTTGAAGAGCGTGATAATCATCCTCCCCAAAATGAGACCGAAGTGGAACAAAGCCAGGTGGGAAACCTGTGATACCCTCGGATTTTCGGATGCGGGTTGGCCAGGCACACGCCCGATTACCCGAGGATATCAAACCAATTAGTAATAAACGAACACAGAATACAATTAAGATAAACAGAAATAAATTAAACTGTTAAAAAGAAACTAAAATGGTAATCCAAAAACTGAAATCTTAGAATAAAATTTTATAAATATGAAATTAGTCAGATACATCCAACTTTTCCATTTCTAATACAACTCGGGAATCCATCTGGTGGATCCCTAATAAAAACCAACACTGAAAACAACAACCGAAGATCTCCAATGCTAAATCATGAGGAAAACTCCTACGTCGTCGGAAGAATGAGTAGACGTCTCTGCCCAGCACGAACAAACTCTAAGACCTGGAACCGTCTGTTACCTGAAAAATAATAGTGGGTCAGGCCCACGAACAAGTTCTATCCTAACTGCAATCCAAACAGAGACTCGATACGCAGATACACCCTAAACGTCTCAACTATATCTATATAGTCCGTAAAATATATATATACATAAATCCACACTACATGACTCTCACTGGACTATGATGAGGGTCTTAACCTGAATAGAAGGCAACATGTAAAACGCACCTGAATGGGCATGACTACCTAAGCCTAACAGGGTATACCTCAACCACCATAGCCAGCTACGCATCTTATTGCACATACGCTCCCTAAC